AGGGCAGCAAACCCTGGTCTCAGGCCACCTTGAATTTAGCTTGAAAAACTGTCTGTTTTAACAAAAGCCTTGTCACAGAGACACCTCAGGACCCTTGCTTCGCATATCTTCATTTCTGCGGTGGCCTGAACATATAGTTTCGGGCAGCGAGCCTCTGGTCCCAGGCCACCTCGAATTTTGGTGCATTGTTTGGCTTTTGCTTCATCTGAATGTGGATGGGAATTATCTATGTGTGAAGTCGGTCGGGGGTCGGGGGGTGGTGGCCCGAGAAAGGTATACGTAAACTCTTGGAGGTGATGTTTTAGTGATTTTGGAGCGGGTGGTGATGCAAGAGTGCATTTTTTGCTTTTGCATGGTTACCTATGTGTGGGCAGAACAAGACATGAAGCAGATTTGACACGCGGCCGCAAGCGGCTGCGCGAGCTCATTTGATTGCTTCGACGCGCAGTTGTCGAGAAAGGGAAGCTGGCTTTCGTTTTGCAGCTTCTCAGGTTCTCCATCCTAGTTTCTAAGTCAAGCAACCACTGCATCCTCCTAGTTGATTGGTTGATCTTTCTTCCTGCTTGGCCCGCACAAATTCCTGCGTGGCCCTCTTGGAGGTACGCCGGTACCCAATTTGCGCGGGTTCCCAGAGCGGCTGACGAAAATAACATGTCGTGACAGGTCACGTTTGATCAAGAGGCCGAGGTATTGCAGTACCCTAACAATCCGGGCCTTCAAATGAGAAGGGCTTTGAGGGTCCGGACTCTTGCTATGGAGGGCCCGACCCCTGCCATGGAGAGCCCAAGGAACATCAAGGAACCATAGGGTTTTGCAGGGACTTTCCTCCCTTGGTTTGACCGGTCGTTTCTTCGACCCCCCTGTGATTCGAAAGACGGGTCGAAGAACGTGGTCCATCCTTTTGGACCAAACGATCGTGCATGTTCGGTTGATCGTTTGGTCCAAGTGGATGGACATTTGTGAGAACCCACAGGTTAGCTGCAGTGCACCTGGTTCCTCAAAATTGGTCCGGTCACAAACAGGCCTGTAACAGGTTACGATTGGGGATTCCAAAAAGGTCACGAACTGCTGGGACTTAGCAGGTTGTTTTCCACAAACTTTAACCTGCTGTCTGAAAGAACCAAATGGGCCGTTTCCACAAGGAAACCCTTCAGCAATGGGTTGTGGTTTGTTTTCCTCTTCCAAGGGATCAAACAGGGGTTTGCCTATTTTGAGCTACACACCCAAATTGATGAATCACGGAACCAAGACCCGACCAAATCGTTCAATATCGTTCAGGGCAACCTTTCTGAGACCGCCCCTGATTGGCCTTGGTTGGTTGATGACCATCACTCCACCCCCAAGTGAACCACGTACCTGGCATCGCATCGAACCCTCCCTGGCTCCCCCGCTCCCCCGCCCGTCCCTCGTGCGGGTCGTCGCACGTCGGTCGCGCGCGGGTCCTCGCACGTCCGTCGTGAGGACATGACGAAGGGCGTCCAGGCGGGGCCCTTCGGAAGCCCCGATCGCTTCAGCACCGATTCGAAGGCGGGGCCGGGAAACGGGACGGGGGGGGACGGCCGGACGAGAGCTGTAAATTCAAGTCCCACAAATGGGTGGTTTTGAGTCCCACAAATGTGAGTGGATAATGGGGACCCCTATCCTCCAAGTTCAACACCCCTTTGTGACTGCTGGTCAAGGCTCTTTTCAAGTACCTGGAGTTTCAGTTCGTAGCTCATGTACTTGTTTCCATACGTAGGGTCATGTCCCCAGTTTCTAAGGTACTTGAAGTCGGGTCAATGTATGGACTTGATATGGACTTGTACAGGTTGATTGTTGTTATCCATGGCTGAAGTGTCACTCCTCACTGCAGTTTTCAGTCGCAAGCGAGAGGCGCAGACCAGGAGCCGGTGCCCAAAAGAAGACCCCGCGCTTACTGGCGTGAAAGCAACAATGACTGGCGAAAGTCGAAGGTGAGTGTGTTTCCAGGCCGTTTGATATCAACATTGCGCCACTCTGATAAGTAATTATTACCAGGGCCTCTCAAAACCAGGAAAAACAAAGGGTTTCACATACAAAAACCATGTTTTTTGCTAGGGAAAACCAGGTTTTGGATGGTTTGTGGGGCCCCTGGTATATATAATATGTTTCTATAAGCCAAGACTCCAGGACCTTCCAACTGACCTCCTCTTCTTTGTTTGTGACCTTTTACTGGCCTTTCCGAGACCCCATCCGGGGGATTTCAAACTCGGTTCAGGTCCTGTTCAGGTCCTGTTTGGTGGAGGAAAGTTGCTGATCTTTACGTCGGAAACCGCGCAAAAAACTTCTATGCGGTTGCAGAACAAAAGACGCGCGGCCACGTGTCTTCCTCGAGCCCAAAAAAAAACCTTCGTAGGAGCGAGCGAGCGCATGCGAGCGCCTGTCGCTCAGGTGAAAGGCAGCTGGGAGAGATCCATTGCCCTCTACCGCACCAACGCAGTCTATGCCTTTGGGCGATGATGGGGCGAACCATAAAATTGAATTGTATACTCAAAGTATCTACCTCAGAAAATGGGTACAAGTACTTGTTGTTGTTGTTGTGGTGGTGGTGTTTGTTTGTTTTGCATGTGTTTTGTCGTGTCACATGTCCCATGTTCTAAATGACTGTGGAGGGTCCAGAGTATGTATGTATACCTGAGGCCTGAATGACCTCCAAATAATATTCGCGATCACCAACCACCCAAAATATGTGTTTTACCTATCAGCAGGGAGGTCAAATGGGTTCTAGGATGTTCTAGGCATTTCACTTTTTTTAATTTTCACTCGACAAGCACCTAGATATCTCTCTACTGGATTTGGGCGATGGGTCATGAATCATTTGGAGCCATGCTTTGGCACAAGCTGAATGAGCCATAATCAACCTGCCTACAGAGGCTTTTGAGAGCCCTACTATCGCCTATCCCACATCTACCGAGCCAGTCCCATGGAGTGTTGGGTGATATAAGTCATGCCACTATGACAAGACACTCCATGTGACTGGCATATCTATACCGATCAGATGAGGTTCTAAAAAGTGGGTCAATGTGTAAAAAAATACTATATGGTTCTACCAGTCCCAGACAGAGAGGTGGGATAGACCACTTGCCAGTTCTGGTGTCAATCTCATCTCTCAGTTCTGAGGTGCAGAAGCTCCAACATCCTTCTGCAGATGTGCCTCCAGGCGCGAGACTTCACCGATCGTGAGACGCAGATCGACGACGAGACGTGCCGCCGCAGCGAGTTCCGGTGGTGCTGCTTCGGCGCCTGAAACACTGCAGAACACATGCATGGTGAACGTGTGGTGAACAGGTTGCGGCAGGTTGCGGCTGGCAAGAAGCTTGAAATGAATGCCAGAAAGAACGCCGACTGAAGGCAGTTGACTGAATGTGGATCATGCGAAAACAACCTGGGAGTAGCTGGCAGTTGCTTCATTGCACAGCCACCGAAAAACATATAGTGGATAGAGGGGATGACACAATCCTCAGATCGGCGGTTTATATATGGACCCCGAGCTAAAAGTCATCTTGGGATGCCATCTACTCATCTACCACTGTACAAGGCCGAAGGTCGACCACACGGCCTTGAATGGAGCTGAAGTGAGCACAAGTTATAAGGAAGCTGAATCGATGAGTGCATTAGGGCTTTACAAACCTGTCAACAATACCTGCAAACATGGGCCCCGATCAAACCCAAAGGCGAGGCAAGTCGGCAATGGTTTAACTCGCGACGACATGCGAGCAGGTACGTCAGATGACGTCAGCGGTTGTGTCCGATATCACTATATGTCCACGTGAGATCGATGATGTCATATCGGGAGGTGCAACAACCAGCAGCAACAAACCATCCCTAGGGATCCAGTCGTACCGAACCTCAGAAGGTACGACTGGACCCTCAACACCTACATAAGAGTGTCCCCAATCACCGTACCTGAGGTTCGGTCATTGGATCCCTAGGGCATGGAAACCGAAGAACATCTAAGGTGGGATGTGGTCATGTTGAGGTTGCAGCTTCGAGGTGGTGTGGGATACCTTGACGTTAAGCATCCGTCCGGGGTTGGGTTTCGGATGTTTATGTCTTTTTCCATCTGTGGATGCCCCGTGCAGGTGGCGCACAAGCCAAAATAGGCCAAAATGTGTGGCTGGAGTCCAAAAGTATCACCCACATATGTCTGGAAGGCATACACACTCCCATCACCCACCGACCCTACCAATACCACACAGATCCACACATGTTTGATGTGGCCTGCCCCGGTACTCCGATGGTACTCCGCCAAAGAATGCCTGTTGTCGCTGTCCTCCATCTACATGGGCAGTTTCACCGGGAGAAAGGTTCGATGCAGGACATGTCACCAGCAGTCTGGAAGGTTTTCGTCATTGGGAGCGGTTCAGAAAGCGTGATCCTTGGTGCCTGGACCCTCGAAGTTCCACAGCAAACAAACCCGTGTTATGTCGAGGGTTTTGAAGAGACCAAGCGCTGGGTTTTAGAGGCTTCCACCACCCTGCAAGCAAGAGGCCTGAAGGATCCCCAAAAAGGGCACTAGGACCTTTGGGGTATATAACAGCACCACCCAGTTCGGGTGGTCTATAGACCCCCCTGACTATCTATTTTCCATCTAAAAACAACCCTTTGGGTGGTGCTGGTATTGGTGTGTCATTTAAGAACGGGACGCCTCCTTTCTTCGACCTTCTTCGACCGCTGGGTCGAGTGACCATTCGATTGCCGGAACTTCCCGCATGCCACCCGGTCGGTCGGGTTGCAGCACTGCTTGTCGGTCAGTCTCCCATTCTCCCATGTCTTGAACCACTCATCCTGACGCGCAGAGCGCGTCAGGCCTTGCGAGCGTGGCTTGGTATGGCGCTGGGCCAGCTCACTATGCAGCCACTTGGACGCACTCACAAAGAGAGCGGATCTGAAGACGGATTCGGGGGTCGACTTGCAATCTCAACCCAAAAAGGTTCAAATTGGTTTAACACATGTTCCCAGAAGACTGGGGCCACAAGTCGCTGTGAAGCTAAACCTTGAGAGCTATCTTGAGCCCTGTTTAACACATATATACAAATGTGAAACCACCATCCTGCATGTATGGACTATTTTTTTATTTTGTGACTAGTTGGTACTTGGAGGCCAGCTTAGGTACATGACCTTGAACCTTGTGAGTTCGAGAAGTACCAGGGTTTTACTTATTATGGAACTATGATTTAACCTATCAACTTCAAGTACTTGTCTTGAGGCTACCTATTTCTTCATATTGTCCACTTGCTTCTGGGTATTTAGCTAATACAACAATTGACAATTGATAACCGTTTCATAGCGAATGCTTACATTTATTTGTTTAAACACAATCTATCTTGAACCTCTCCATGGCAAGTCACTGGGGTGATGGATTCCTGAGATTTGCTCCAGATGTTCATTATTCCCTTCCTTGCAGATGTAAACCCCCAAAACCATTGGGTTGTAGAGGAAAATGGCCTTCCCCTCGTGCCATTCTCGGGCTCTACCTGTTGGTCAGAGACATCCTTGTCCGCTTTTGAAGGAGGCATTCTTAGGTTGACATGGTTATACCAGTGTTGCTGAACAAACTAGGTGGTGCAGGGGAAGCTGAGCAGTGATCATTCAAGTTTTTGACTTCGGGAGCCTGTCCGCTTGGAACATCTAGAAACGGATTCACAACCAAAACAGATGTCAAGTCAATTCCCTCATCGTTATGCCACTCAACTAGCCAAAAAAATCCAGAGATACACATGAAACCTAGCCCTGAACCCCGGGTATAGATGAAGCTGACTCAACTCATTTCCAAAAAACATATTATATGTAAGCAGAACACATTTGGGAAAGGAATGTGTTGAACTTAGTCTCCAAACAAAAAGTGGTCCAACATGTCCAAAACACGTGTGGAATTCTGAACTTGGGAAAACAAAACTGGTTTTATCATATCTTAGGGCCTGTTCCACAGTTCCAAAGACTCATTCCCTAGTTAGCCTCGCTCTCGCTCTCGCCTCGCCCACCGAGCTCGCCGAGGTGTTTGTGCCGGTGCCCAGTGGCTTCGGTGCCACTGTGAAGGCGCTGAAGTTGGCGAACCCTATGAAGTTCGTGCCTCGGCCACCAAATGGCTCGAGCCGGCCGGGCGCGGGGCTCGGGGCTCGGTGCCCGAGCCGCCTGAAAGGCTCGAAGAGGCTTTCCTTCGCGTGGAGGAAGGAAGGAAGGAAGGAAGGGTGACCCTGACAGGCACCGTCAGTGAAAAGAGGTTGACCTGGTATTTGGGGCGAAAGTGGACATGGAAGATGGGTGTTCGGTCTTTTTCTTTTTGCAATCGGACTGAATGGAACAGGACGCACGCATGTTGCAGCAAGTCAACTGGAAGTGAAGCGGCTTCGCCACTCCCCTTGTACACGATGAAGTCGCCACATATCCCTATAGGGATCCAGTCGTGCCTTCTCAGCAGGTGAGGAAGGAGACACCGCTATGTAGATGCCAGGAGAGTCCAGTCGTACCTTCTGAGGTTCGGTACGACTGGATCCCAAACGGGCGATGTGGACACCCCAAAACGGACCACCCTCCGCGATCGGTCTGAGGGTTGGAGGGATGTCCCAGGTCCACCGGACTCGCCGACGTCCGACATCTGCTTTTTCTCTTCCAATGTGGTTTGACCGAGGGAGTTTTCTTTTTTTTCTGGATGGACAGATGCAGATGTGAGAGACCAGCTGATGTGCGGACCTTTCAATTTGTTTATATTTGAATCTAGTCAGATAGGCTGGGAAAATGAACGGCAGACGGTTAAGCAAGTCCTGAGAAGTTGGCGTGGGGCGTGGGGGTCATGGGGGTCATGTGTTGAACCTCTGCTGGGTGGGTGGAGATTTGAACCGAGCTGAGCTGAGCTTGTAGGGATCACATACGGTGCTGATACGGATCCGAGTGCTGAGAAGCCATCTCTTTGTCGTCTTCTGGCGGAATTCCACCAGGAGGTACGGTATATATCGTGTATATCATGCCAGCACCAGAAATTCCGGGTGTCCATTAATTAGCCCCTTAGAGGTGATTCGGGGTGTCCATCAACCACCCTCTTGGGGTTCAGGAAAAGGACTGTCTCTTTTGTCGTTTAGTATCGTTTAGTGTCGTTTGGTTCTCCAGGTTCCTGAACTGAAGACAAAACAATAGGGTGAAATCTTTTCACATGACAGCGACGGTTTTCTGGAACTCCTTTCGAAAGACCTTGTGAAGCAAGGCTGCCTTTGGCTGGCTTGGCATGGAGATTTTGGGAGGCAGATGAGATACTTGATCTCCACAGGAGAAGCTCCTAGCAGGTGCCAAGTGGCAGCCTCCATGGCAGCCCCCCCTATGTCATTCACTTTTGAGAGGGAGGCTATGCATGGTAAGAGACCATCTGGAAACCGCAGTGCTGGTTCGACTTCGACGTTCAAATGAACTGCTCTCGGTGTGTTTCGACCAAGGAGACATCTTCCATGAATTGGGCCACCAGGAGGATCATGGATGCGGCTCGGTCTTTTGGCTGGGGGGGGGGAAGAGCAAGCCTCACTTCAAGGTCTCAGGCGATCATTCATGGACATCTTAAGGATATCTATGGTGACTGACTACCCTAAGAATCCGGGCCCTCAAACACATATAGGAGCAAAAAATCAGTGAACATCGTGATTTTAGCTGATGTTTGTAGTCCGTAAGGTTTGCCGTAAGGATGTGCAGATTTGAACGATGCCGTAAGGCTACCGGATGCGAAACTTGTTTATTTTGATTCTGCTTCCTTCCTTGTTTTGCAACAACATATCACATGTGACCATAGTGGACTTGCATACCTCCGCCGTAAGCACAACGTAAGAATAGCCATGCATACATGTGTCACCGTAAGCAAAACATAGAGAACTCTAAGCTTTGCCAGCTTTGCGTAAGGCGTACCATAGGGATTGATTTCTCGGCAAGAAAAGACAGCACAACTTTGAACACCGCTCATAGGGTTTTGAGGGCCCGGACCCCTGCTATGGAGGGTCCGACCCCTGCAATGGAGAGCCCAATGATTCTTAGGGTAGATGAATTATTAGTCCATTCATGGATGTCGGAGGTGTTTCAGTGGTGGTGACACTGAAGTATTTACTTTGCAGTGCTTGGCAGCATGAGTTTGTGGTGAAATCTGCAAAGCTTGGTGAGATGGGCTACACTTTCCCACCCAGGAACAGTGGATCACTATGATCACTTATCTTGCAGGTCACCATTTGTTAGGGGAGACCCCACTGGAAACAGGTTCACCTAGAGGTGCTCCGGACCCTCCCATTGATCTGTCGGCAGCTCTGGAGGAGTGCCCAGGCGGTGCCGCGATGTGTTTCGTGCGTTCGATCCCGGTCCCCATCATATCCAGAAAAAACCATGGGTGGCTTCCCCTCTCTTCCAAAAGTCCAGTTACTGAGCATTTGAGGGCTTAAGGACATTCCGAACTTCGGATCAGCGAAAGATAGCTATATCAAGACCATGTTCAAAGATTAGTAACTTCGGATCAGCTGAAGAATAGCTATATATATATATTATCAATAATTATAAAGACCATGCATGTTTAAATATTCCAAGCTTTGAACAAGCTAAATAATAGCTATACTGTTTAAAGTTTCCGAACTTCTAATAAGCTAAAGAGCAAACAACTATTTTAAAGTTGGTCTTGGACTGGTCTCTTAACAAATCGCGTGAGGATCGAGTCTTCAACGCTTCAGGTGTGCCAAGTGAATTTCAAGGCCATGCATGAGACCGTCCACGCCAGTCAATTGGATCTTGAGAAGCACCTGGGCAGTTGAGTTGGGATTGATCCAAGAAAGATGTTTTCCTGTGACGAATCCTGCGGGTTCGTGCGGAATCAGTTTGAGAGACGAGGTGTTTTCGTTTTGAGGAGCGGTTTTGGGCGGCCCATGAGGGTGAAGGCCCCAAATGCCCTGACGCCGTCCATGAGACTGCATGGCCTATACATTCACCACGAAAAGGACGAAAACACCCTTTAACATGTTATTATAGGCTAAAGTTATAGGCGTTATAGGATTTGTAGGCCGGAATTTTGGCCGGAATTTTGTTTTTCTTGGTGTGTGTGTTTTTCAAGCTGTCGATGTGGAGGTCTTCCGATCTGTCGATGTCGATGCGCAGGTGGCTAAGCAGGTGGCTAAGGGTGTCTTGAAGACCCTAAAGTCCAGCTTTTTTGAGGGGAGTGCGTTTCGTCCGTTTCATCCGTTGCAGTCGCTGCAGTCGCTGCAGTGCGTGGCCACGCAAATCGCTCGCATGGTAGCTGGTATATGTTAAATTGACACATCAAAGCACACCAATCTAGGTAGGTACTCCATACATTGGAGTGTTTGGATATTAGAAATAGGGGCAGCACGCGAAAACCACCAGCATGTTATGGGAGAAACAAATAAAATCACAAGCAATTCTTTGACAACACTCTGAAGAGCACGGAATGGCCACGCGTCACACGAAGGGGCATTACTGGGGTTTGTCCTATTACCTGTAACAGTCAGTAAACAGTTATCATCAGTTATCACTATTTTTGGAACCAAGGCAAACCCAACCAAATCATCATCCACTGGGCCCAGGATAGATCGGATAGACCCAATCAATACCTTTGTTTGACCGCCAAGAATTGGCGGATCGCCCGACCGGAGCATTTTTGAACCACGCCTCCGACCCGACCGGATAGTCCGACCCGACCGGTGTAGCCAGGTCCTCGGGTGACCTCGGGTGACCGTCAGGTGACTCAGGTGTACCCTGCTCTGAAAAATCTTATACCATCACCTTCCCGGGATCCGTTTTCGTACCGAACCTCAGGTACGGTGATTGGGGACACTCTTATGTAGGTTTTGAGGGTCCAGTCGTACCGAACCTCAGGTTCGGTACGACTGGATCCCTAGGGCATTGGAGCCTTTTGGAGCCAGAGTCCAGTGCGACTCTTCCTTAAATCCTGGGCACAAGCTCGTCAATGCTTCTTCAGGGAAGGCGATGTGCTCATCGAACGCTTGCGCTCCTCCAAGAGCAGCTCCTTAGATCAGTATGGCCCACCAGCACCCTCCAACAGGTCTCCTTTGGTGGCTGAAATGGAGACTTGATAGTCTCAGGTGGTGACCTGTAGAGTCGGGTGCTGGTACTGCAGGGACATGCAGGGACTGTTTCTTTTTTGCGACATAGGTATTTGTGTTCAAGCAGTTCGAACATTATCGAAAAGACCTGGGGTACTGCATGGGGTTTAGTCCCGTACTGCAGGGGGTCCCGTTCACATCTATATGGCCACAAAAAAAAACATGGCGGTTTTGAGTGGTTTTCATGTAGGCCATGCAGCCATGCAGTTTCATTGGCATCTGGGACTTGTTTGAGCGTCTGGGGGTCCTCCGCTTCGTGTGGTCCGTCCGGTTCGGGTTCGCGTACCCAACGGGAGCAGCGGTGAACCCGTGGCAGATGGGTTCGGTACCTGGACCTTCTTTCAAGGTGGTCCAGTAGTGGGCTAGGGCGAAACCAACGACCCCGACATGAAGGTGCTGGTAGGCTTTTGGACCTGCTCAACCTGAAAAAACCACCTTTAGCATCCTGGGTCCTGGAATTGGTATCTATCCAGGATCAGACCGCGGGGGGAGCGACATGGAGATGACCAGGACATCGACTTCCTTCGGCGTCACCGGCGTCCTGTCACTGGCGGTCGGATGGACTTCTTGCGACCGTGCGTCAGCTGGATCATGTCCAGGCGTCCATGGGACTGGAAGGTTACATTGACCCCCAGAACATATGTTTTTTCAAAAAGCCCTCATGTCGTAGACCAGCAGAGGTGGGTCAGAACCCGACTGTTCGACTATCCTAATAGGTATCCCTGGTTACGGGTCCTATTTACGGTCACTGTCATAGATTAACGTCTCAAAGGTATAGGACAACATGTACGGTGATTTTGATTTACCACCGACCCTCAGCCCCAAGGGTCCAGGACCATCCGTTTCTCGGATGTCCTGAAAGGCCTCAGGCAACGATCATTCTCAGGTTTCGTACGTACTCACCTCCGTTCGACCATCCGATTTGGATGGTCCTGGACCCTTAGGGTAAGTAACCTTTGGGACCCAAGCTTTGGGAGGTTGGTCTGTGGTAACTGGGATCTTCCTGCTCACTCAGGTGCTGCCGTCCTCCAGCTGGCCATTCAAGAACATGCGAACAAGGCGTCACTGACCAAAGGGACCGACGGCGTGGCCCTCAAAACCATGAAAAAACACAGGTTTTCGCATACAAAAGCAATGTTTTTTTGCTAGGGAAAACCTGGTTTTGGATGGTTTGTGGGGCCCCTGGTGTATATGATCTTTATTTCCCCATTTGGTGCTCTTCTTCCGAGTGTAGCTGGGTATCTGGAGTAGGGGAAGCCAAGTAGCCCAACCTGGGGGGCCACAAGTCACCTCCTTTCGGCTCCTCTCGGCTCATCCCATGGGGTCCAGGGTGCTCTTCGACCCCTTCCGACCCCCCCGTGGCCCGCCCACGGCTCGGACCCTCCGAAGCGATCGGTCAACCGGTCGAGCTGTCGGTGGAGCGAGGATCGCGAGCGATGTGTTGGAACACACGTCGCGTGTTGGGGCCCAGACACCCCAGAACACACCCTGTCTATAGGTCGGACCCGAATCGATCATCTCAAAATCCGGTTTGGAGGGAGCATTTGGGCTGTGAACGGAGCCTTTGTGCAGAAGGGTAAATCCATGTAAATCCTCAACACTTTATACCTGACAACTTATGTTAATTTGTTCCAGGCTTCCGAGCAAAGCTTTCAGGAATGTGAGAGCCAAACATTGGACATGCGAGACACTGTGGCATGCTGGTTTGTGGCATACTCCGAACCAAAAACAGGTACGACTGGGGCCCCATTTTGCGAGGGACGAATGGATCGACTGGTAAGTCAGCAACAGTGGAGAGTTGAGACTTGATGCGTCATGTTTTAAAGTCATGGCCGCCAGAGCCGCGGACTGCGAAGCCCCTCGGCCGTTTTGGTGGGTTCTGAGCCGTTGGAATCGTACCAAAAAGCCGACCAAGTCGACCTGATCCGTACCTCAATGATCCTCAATGAGTATAGTCCTACCCCTAAGGGTTCAGGACCACCCGAATCGGATGTCCTTTGGCCCCAGTTCGACCATTCTCAGGAAGTGCGTACTCACCTCCAAGACCCTGTTGTTGTTGTTGTTGCTGTCGTTGTCCTTGGCTTGGTTTGCACAGCCATGTCTCGCCTGCGCTGGTACTTCCTTCACTTTGGAGCCGCCTTAGCGGTAGCGGCCGCAGATGTCGAGCTCAGCTTTGCGCATGAGGTGGCCACCGTCGATCTGGAACTGGACTCAAACAAGACTGGCTGCATCATCACAAAGGAGAGTTTTCAACTGACCTGCCAAGCTCCTGGCAGTGGCAAAGCTTCCTTGCCGGGAGAGATACCAAAATTTATGAAGTTACTGGGGCCTGTTCAGAATGTTGTTTTGCTTTTTTGTTTTGTTCATTTTTGACTGACATTCCATTTGAGACAAATGTGCTTTCTCAGCCCATCCCAGCTTTGCCTTTTTTGTCGTTTCCCCAGTCATTCCCGGGCTTGCCCTTAATTTGCTTCCTCAGTCAATCCCCAGGTTCACGATCGACTGCAAAAACATGAACAGTGTGTTTGATGGAGTTCGAATTCAAACTATTGGGGCTGACCTGTGTGCAAAGTTGACGCTTACACAGTACAATCTCACGGATGACAATATGTACTTGGTCAAGGGAAGCTTTGCCAATTTGACCTGTGTCCTGATGCCGCTGCCAATGTGGAAGGCTTCTGTGGCTGGGCAGTGGAACCAGATCTCCGTGCATGCCGAAATGCACGGGAATCTCGAGGGACACTTGGTGGCACAAGCCACGAGCTCACCAAAACTAGAACATGCTGTATACAAGCCCAAATTGATTGGATTGGACTGCTTGTTAGTGTTTGTCTCTTCGTTCGTCCTTGTGAGAACTGCCTCTTGTGGCACCAGTCTTTTCCCACAAGCCTCATCTCCGCTTCTGGGGTTCTCGTTTGGTCTGCCGGCCCCATGGGAGTCGAGTTAGGCGTTGAGCCACATCGGCGCTGGTGGTTTCGCTCATCGGGTGTCATATATATATATACCCTAGGCTTCCAACAACCATTATTTTAATAGGCTTTACCGAATCAACTAAGGATTTTTCATTTCAAAAACAAGGTCAACCATTTTTATAATGGTCTTGGAAGTCTAGGGTATATATATATATATATATATTAATTGCATATATAACAATCACCACCCAGTTCGGGTGGTTAGATGGAACATATAGTCAGGGAGGTCGACAGCAACCACCCGAACTGGGTGGTGCTGGTTTATATCATTCACTTTTGGTCACAGGCAAGAGCGCTTCAGGTTCATGCATCTTCTTGGCAAAGAGATGCGAAGATGATTGTGGTGAATCGGCATGACGGTCATGCTCGTTGACCGACCAATCGTTCCAGCCTATGTACGGCTTCGGTACAGAAAACCCGTTTGTGGACGGACCAACAAAAAACACGCAGGCAACCAGCTGTGGACAGATCAGGAGGTCGGCTCTTTGGCTTATCGCCCTGTGGGTGTGGATGCAGCTGCTTGCGCCCAAGCCGTGGAGGATTTGTATCTTGACTGTCTGGGTATGTTTGTCCATTTGGTTTAGTAGTGATTTCTCACTAAACCACAAAGCCAGGACCTTCACTTTAGGGTCTAAGTGACCTCATGAGATCTCAAAGGTCACTTTGAAGGTCCTGCCTGGAGGATATCCAAAGATATTTTACCCTTAGCAAAGCCGCAGCTTGCCAAGGTATGATTGGTCCATGCACTTGGTCAATTCCAGTCAGAACCGACATCAAGTGCTCTTCAAAAGCAGCCCTGGACCGGCCAACTACACATCCCCCGTCATCGATGAAGAGAAGCTCAAGGAGTTGAAGAACTATCCCTCGCAGGAAACAACTTGGCTGCAGGTCTATGACATGGAGCGCTTCTACCCCAAAATCAAGAACGCCTCGTGCGAAGGCCTCCCCGGCACCAATCTCAGGGATCAAATTTACCTTTGGAAAAAGGCGCCTGAGTCCCCTCGCCGTGGCAACTACCTTCAAAACTTGGAACAGGTCGTGGACTACATGGAGCTCCAAGTGAATATCTACCACCTGCCCAACACGACCCGAAGCATTGAAGCCACCGTGCAATATCGACCATGGCCCATCATCGTCCCAATCAAGCTCTTTGAGCAAAATATGAAGCTGGAGACCTTGAACCTTCCCGTGGACATGAGCTCCAACATCCCTTATCCGGATTCTCCGATCCCCATTGACGGGCATCTCAAGCCCACACCCAACACACCCAACACACATGAGACTTGGTTTTGCGCAGCAGGTGATGTTTCTTATTTTCCGTATGTTAAATCCCCTTCTATCCCTTCTGGCAATTAATTAGATGCAAGTAGTGTTTCCTGGTTCCTTAAAAGCAAATCCAAGGAGGAGTCTTCATGGCCTTACACCTGGTTGGTGATGGCTGTTCTGATTATACTCGCAGCGTGGCTTCAAAAGGGCGATGTATCCCTAGCACCTGAATGACCTCTATTTTGGACCACCAACCACCCAAAGTATGCCCTTTTCCTATAAAAACGGGGGTCAGTGGGGTTCCAGGTCCATTATATGTATTATCAATTTTTAGTCCATTTCCGAGAGCTTCTTGGTAGTACCTGGACCCTCCAAGGAAGTACCTTAGAAAATGAGACGTGACCCGAACCAACAACAGCGACGACGGTACCCATGTTCGGAGGTAGTTGTTTGATGTCACAATTTAGTTTTCTACTGCCAGGTAGAAAGTAGAAAAGGTTCATCAGACAGGTAGTAGTTCGGAGCAAAACTACCTTAGGTTTCTATTGTACCAGGTAGTAGTTCAGAGGTACTTTAGACATCAAACATTTTCTGAATGGTTTTTAGATATCCCAGGTCGCTCTCCTCGTGGGTGCCTTCTTCTCCCGTCGACGGCTTCGAGCAGCGGCGCAGACACCCGAGGGGGTGGAGCTACGAGAAGCGGCGCAGAACTGAAGCTGCCGGTGATTGGGCTTAATGGTTTGGCTTTCCATGTTGAATCATGGCTGGTATTTCCCCCTAGGGCTCCAACTACCTCCTGAGAAGATGGTTGGGGTGGGTGCCAGGGGGGTCCAACCACCTTCTGAGGTTACATGGTTGGAGCCCTAGGGTCCCTACATATCAAGATCAACCTCATGAACTACTGGAGTGGGTCATACAAAAAACACTACTCAATGAAGAAAAGGACCAGGTTTTGCTGGGTCAGACCAGACCTGTAGGGTTTGGTCATTCTGTCCTACCTCCCTTTCGAAGTAGGCCGCTTGTTATTTTTTTGGCGGGGTGCGTGTCTCATGCTTGTCTCTTACGTCTTTTTCACATCCACTCACCTTTTGGGGGTCCCAAAACCACTCCTTTGGAACTGGCCAATATGTCTTTCCAGTTCCCTGGTTTTGCGGATGGTACGTGTTGTTTGAGGGCCTCAAATGACGGACCCGATCGGTTGGAGGTCCTGAAGGCCGGCGACACAGCGACGCGGAACTCTCCAAATCGATCCAACATGAGCACCCTCCAATCGGGTCAAACTCAGACCCGCTCAAGAACGAAAACTCGAAGAAGCAGCACCACCCAGTTCGGGTGGTTGATAGAACCCCCCCTGACTCCCCTATTTTCCATCTAACCACCCGAACTGGGTGGTGCTGGAAGCAGCTTTCAGTGGTTGGCCGGTACCGCCCGTCCGACGCCTTGAGGCGCTGCGCCGGCGCTGCGGCCCCGTTCCGATGCTCGTTCCGCGCTCGTTCGGTCAGCTCAGCGGCAAAAGAGACGGAGCACAGCAAAACCGGGCATAAGAAAAGGCCATTTGGAGCAGGGTGGTGTGCAATCTGAAGCTGCTTTTAGGATGCTTTTGGGTATTTTGTGCGCCACGCGTCAGATGAACACATTCCTCAATGCAGGCATGGAAGTGCTCTTGCTTCACTACCAATAGCAGGTTTCTTTCAGAGAGCACTCAGTTCAATCATCGATCTTTCTATTCTTCTATATTGTTTAAATTTTGTTCTATCTTGTCTCCAACTGCCTGAGCAGGATTGTAGAGGATGGGTTTCAGAGGAAGCCAAGCAGCTTCGTACGTAGCAAGTGGCTTAGTACATAACAGCGATTCGTCGGCGATCTCCATCGCTCGATCTTCGTTCCACCCGGAGCGAGTCTCCACCGACCTTCGTGGTGCTTTCGTGGCGGTGTGGGAACTCTCCCGCGGCAGAGTTCTTTGAACCTCGGACGGACGGACGGCGGCGATGGGAGGCTTTGGCGACGTGGGAGGCTTTGAGCCAGCAGTTGCTTTTCTCCTATAGCTCCCTGGCAGACGTCGTGCGAGGGGCGAAGCATGTGGCCAGCCGGTTCGGACACGTGGGTCTGGCAACGTCGGAGGGTGGGTGTGGCTCAGTCTCGGAGTGTTGATGTAGCTGGGCAAATGGTATAGGCACGTAGACCATGATTGGGCTTTGGGCCAACGGAATGTATCGATCTGATCTCCAAGGCGTCCAAGGTCCCTATAGATGTCCCTAGCCTAGCTCCGGAACTGATTCCATTTCAGTTTTTTTCTGGCCTGGCCCAAATCCCGAACCACTCTTTGGATTTGATCATGATTTCAGCGGATTTGAGGATTTTAGTAGATTTTTAACACTAAACCGCAGCTCTTTCTTCGCTCTTTCTTCGTCTTCGCTGCTCTTCCACGGCGGAGGCGACAACAGCCGCTTCGCGGAGAACTGGAAAGCCATGGGCTACTCCGACGAGTGGCTGGAGCAGTCCGGCTACAAGGCCCCCACGGTCGACGCCGAAGAAAACACCGAACCAAAACGGATACGGACACGTGTCCTGTGTTCTACAGGCTCGCCATTTGATATATATAGAACATGGTTTGCCCAATCCCTCCTATTGAATTTCAATGGAGATACGGAGGTTGATCTTTGCTGACAAAAGAAGGCAGAATGCGGTGTTAACTGGTGCAGAAGCCCTCTTCAGGACCCAAGTGACCCCAGTTTCGGAGCAATGAGGTTTGTTCGGTGTATGACAGATCCCTATAGGGATCTTCATACCCTTTGAGAAGATGATTGGACCCCCTCCAAGCCTACATAAAAGAGTGACATTTGGTACTTGCGAAATGGAACCAAGAGGCAAATCAGATATTCAATCATATATAGAAGATGATTCGATAGATGCTCGCCATGTGCTGTTCCTCCTGCTTGGGCTGGGGGATTGCTGCTTCTGCACTGCATCAACCCTAGGGGCTCCTGGCCCACCTCCGTTTCGCTTCGATGCTTGGAGTGCCGCGCTCTGTGCTACCGGGCGGATCCGGGCGGGTCGATGGGGGCCGTGAACGGAGCCCCTTCGGGCAAAGGCACAAGAGAAGGCATGGGCCATGTCATGTTCGGTGAAGCCGTGGCGTTACCCAGGGCCCTGGGCTGAAAAACCTTATTGTAGCGCTTCGCTAGCGAAATCGCTGAGGAGACACAGTAAGCTAAAAGGATCCGTGTTTTTTTTTTGGTGTTTTGTTTTTCCCGCTTTTCCATGTTTTTCATCATATTGTTCAATCAACTTGTCTATTTGGAACGTCACCCTACGAGTAGATAAATTGGTGGGACACTGTTCAGCCACGTTGTAAATTGTTCCATACTCTATGCAACTTGTATCAAATGTTGTTAGACTACACTATACAGACGTACCGATGTACAGTATGTATACAGTACATATTTATAACTCGTATTTCCTGTGCCAGTCTGCGGCAGGATGGACCTCCACCGGCTCCCAAGGAAGACAAGTGCCCACCCAAGTGTGGTTGCTCGCCGGCAGTCGCGTTGCTCGCCCAGGGCCGTCTCAAAGGCGAAGCCCGTACCAGCAGAGGTGGAAGAACCCCCTAGTTCGACTATCCTAGTTCGGTACCCCTGTAGGGTCCTATAAGGTCACTTAACCTCCGTAGGTACTACCCAAGATCATCGAATGCTCGAGAAATACCCTGGGGGCGGTCTCTAGAGCCTCCAGTCGCACTGGGGGTGGGTTAGGGCCACCTGAGGTGGGCCAGGAGCCCTAGGGGATAGAGGAACTGGTTGTTTGATTCCATTGTTTTTCCTTTACGAAGGCGAAGTCAATGATTCCGAGTTGTCACTTGATTCGTCAGCAGGTTCCTGTGCACCTCCGTTTTTGGAACCAGCGGGAACACACGGGAACACTTAGGTAAGACTATATATAGTACCTGGACCATCCGACCATCTGGGTGTCCTGGCTGGCCGCCCCCAACTCGCCCACTGCTACTTAGGGATCTCTAGACAGGACACCCAGGTCTAGGATGGTCCTGGTGTGTGTGTGTGTGTTTGGCGCACTTTGTTGATTTGAACACAGGGCCAAGGGCAGAAACCAGTTTTTTTTGAGACGTGTGTGAGCAACTGTTAGAAGCTTTTGGGTGGGGGAAGAAGCATACCAAAAGTGTGAAGGTGTTTCCTGTGGAGACCTGCAGGTATCTGCAGGTCACCCAAACCCAGAGCCAGACACGAACTATGGGAACATTGACCCCTTTTCAATTACCCCAACTGATCGGTAAATGCTCCACACATGCGTTTGGGAATGATTCCCTAGGGATCCAGTAGTGCCTTCACAGGTACGGGCGGAAATGTATTCGACACGTACGTGTTCGACACGTATGTGTCTCTTGCCGGTGCCAGGGTCGGGTCCAGTCGTACCAAAACTGGATCTCTAGGCCCTAGCCTTCAGTTCGACCATTAAAAGAACGGTTGAGCTGGTGGTGTAGTGTAAAAATCGGAAAACACATGGTTTGAGCAGGTCAAGACCATTAAAACAATGCTTGATTGAATCCTAGGGTAGGGATTGGGGTGGTTTTTGGAGGAGCCCTCCTCCAAACACGAGCTTTGTGGATCCAACGATCGATTCGACCAGTCTCTCCGACGATCGGAACCACGTGCCGCGCCGGAAGAGGAGCGGTGGTAGTAAGCGGTTTTGGTGGTTGAAAAATGGATGAATTGAAGGGCCACCACGTAGCTTGGTTGCTACTAGTAGCAAGGACGCCGACCTAGGTGGCCAGCTACAGGATCACCGAATTTCAGCCCCAAACTCATCAGCACTTTCTGGGATGATGGTCCGAACTCCGTGGCTCACACTCTGTGAGCTGAAAGCACTGAGCTGCACCCAGGAGTCATATCTCCATCCCGTTCCTACTATCCCCCTTCATTCCCTACTACCGTACTCCCTATAAGCGATCTTAAGAGGGTATCTTTGATCAGAGAGGACCTGGAAAATGGGACCTGACCCCAACCAAAAAGGTCAGGTACTTGTAGTACGACTGTACCATCTTGTACCCATTTTGTCGGAGGTACACCCGTTGACTCCAGATGGCTCTATAAGTATACTGTCCCTATAGGGATCCACTGCGACCTTCTCAGAAGATAGTAGTCTCCAGTCACCTTCTCAGAAGGTACGACTGGATCCCTAGGGCAGGTATACGGATTTGTTCTTGTTCTCTATTTGGTCCATTGGGATGGTGCCCCCCAAACATCTCCCTTCCCAATGTGGTAAACATTGGCAAACAATGGCAAACAATTGATTCCCTAAGAGTCCAGGACCATCCGTTTCTCGGATGGAAAGGCCCCAGGCAACGACCATTCTCAGGAAGTACGTACTCACCTCCAAGACCATCCTCAGGAGGGTCCTGGACCATTATAGGGATTTGTTTTATGATGTTTTTCTCAGGGACCCCCTTTTGTTTTGTAATGTTTTGTTTGTAAGGGTCATTGGAAACATTTTGGAAACCCATTTTGTTGTTAATGGTTCACATCTCTTGTGCCGCTCAGACGACGAGCCGGAGCCTATGCCTGCCACCGTAGTGTGAAGCAGGCTCCTGGGTTGAGGTGCGGATTTTGTAGTTCAAATCGATTTAGCACGTAATTTTGCCAAGTAAGCTCAAGTAAGGATGTGTTTTTTGTTGGAATTCTTTGTGGGAGGTCCTCCTGATAAGTAGAACCTCATGTCTTTTTGCACACCTAGTGAGAGACGAAGCAGTCTTACGGGCCCCCAACTGATTCCTTGTTCTCTCATGTTCTCTCTTTATGTTTGCACAATGTCATCTGGACGTTGAGTTTAAAGAAACATACAAACATGAAGATGTGTTGTTCAATCAAGACACTCTTTTTGGGGGAAATGCACTATAGATGTATGCAGTATGTCAATTTTCTGGCAAATGACAGGTGCAGACGACAAGAGAGACCCAAATCCATTGTCCAGATTCTCAGACGTTTGACCTTCTCCGACGAAGTCGTCTGGTTCCATTCCCCAGAGAATCTATAGTTGAGGTAAGTGAATGAGATGATCGTTGGGGCTCCAAAGACCTTCTGCAAAGGTACTTAGACCCTCCGGAACCACCCCAAAGGGAGGGAGGTATTTGGAGTCTAAAAGGACATTATGTTAAAACAACATAAATCCATCGAAAGTGATCATTCACGCTGCAGACAGAAACTGCTCAAACGATTTGTCGCAGTAAATCAGGCAGTTTCATGCACGGCATATATGTTTGTCCCTCTTGCCACACACTCAAACTACGTCGAACGGAACTGGAACATGGACCCTTGATTTGTTTTTTTAAATGTTGTTTCCTTTACCCCAAGGATCTTGACGGTCAAACACTCAGGGTTTTGAGGGTACAAACTCCTGTATTCGGAGGGTTCGAAATTAGGCAATGCAGGGACCAAGATCTCTTGGGCACCACACATGGCTATTTTTACGTGTTCTTTGTGCAGTCGTGTCCTAGTCATGTCTTTTCCAGGATATAGATGGCGCAATTGTGTCTTTTGGGTTCGATAGGGCCTGAAATTCCCACAACCATCGTTTCAATGGTCTTTTTACCAAACAACTGCTTAGACACGATTTTAGACTACAAGTCAACTAGGGGTCTTGGAAGGATAGGGTAGGGCCTTTGCTACACCAGTCATGGGGACGCATCTCCGGTGTAAGTGTAAGTAGATAGAGACTGGGACCCATGCTTGGTGCCTTTATTCTGGTGTATCATCCCCATTTGGCCGATCTGGAGGCAATCCATCGTGGCCTGAGTGTGACGGGCCGATTTAGAGTAACAGAGTGACCGCGTTTTCAGGGCTGATTGGGCTTGGTCAACACGGGAGCGGATCGGCGGCTGAGCAAGCGGGCTCTGAAGAACGGATCTGCACAGCTTGTTGATGGAAAAGAGCAATCTTAAGTACCTGGAGTCGAGTCGACACGTTCGTGCCTGAGAACATGGGTGAAAAGAAGTCGTACCTGTGGTTTGTTCGGGTCATGTGACCTCGTTTTTTAAAGGTACTTTGGAGGGTCAAGGTACTGTAAAATCAATCACTTAAGACTTCCTGCCAGGTGCTTCTGTGGCATGTTTTGATGACACACAAAACCTGAAGGCAGACGTCTTCTGATGTAAAAATCCAAAGAACCTGATGACCTACCTCCACCGCGTGATCTTGGTTGAAAGGGGTGAGACCCGACAGCAACCCCAAGGGCCCCAACAAATGGTTGAAGACACGACCGGCATTTTGACCATGATCCATTTGGGGTTCTCATCCCGCACCGAAGCGGTGATGTTTTTTTGATTTCTTTTTTTTTCCGGACATTTGCAGAAGCGGTGATGGTTTTGCCGGACTCGAATTTTTGGGGTATCAGAAGGGGTGTCCCAAGTGTACGTTACATGTGATACATTTATCAGAGACTGTGACTGCACCAACCATCCATCCTCCCATCACACCAAGAAAAGGAAGAACACATCAAAAAGATAGACTTTTGCAACGTTCAATATTGTTTAATGGGCCCAACAGGTGCATAAATCCCTGATTTCTTGTTTTGTGGACTACAGATTCGTTCATGTAGGGTCTTATGGACTTCTTTTCCAGTGCGACCTCACCGTTACTTCAGTGTTGTTTTTGTTGCTGCCATGTCGCAGATCCGCAGACACCTCCATTTGTGGAGGCACCATCCCACAGGGTCCAGATGTACCTCCTTTTCGGATGGTCCAGATGGTCGTATGAAACAATTGGTCGACCTCACTGGGGCCCACAGCAGGACATCCGAGTGGCACGGACGGTCCTGGACCCTTAGGATGGAACTCAAGGGTGCTCCACTGGCTGATTCCAACGGCCTGCACTGGTAGCGGCCATGAACCATGAATGGCACCACGTTGAACATTTGGCTGCAGTGATACGCCAAGGGCTAGGGACCCATAAAGATATGATGGTGCCTGTGACTCGGAAAGGACCTTTGATGCGGTAGGGTAGCCCTGAAGGTCCTTAGTGCACGCAGAAGGTCCTGGGTCACTAACATGAACGGGGGGTGAAGAAACATGAAGGCAGAATACAGAGATCCACCTGTCGGGACCTTCCAATAGGTGTCGACATGTCCAGACACCTAGGTGATTCGGGTGTCCGAAAACCACCCGGCTTGGAAGGTCTTGCTACTTAGGAGGAAGCTCAGGAGCCGGGGGTACCATCCTTCCCTAAAAGAAGTTACAGGGATTTCCCGTTCAACACTTGCTAGCCACACTCATTAAGCCTTAAGCCGCAAGCCGAATTTCAAGCACTACAGACTGGGCATGGAAGCGTGTCGGAAGATCATGGAAGCATCCTTGTCTTTTGCGGGCCTTCTCACTGTGCTGAGTGATGCTGAGTGCCGGGTGCTGGATTCTTTGCAAAAAGGATCTTTTCCTTTCGTGAGGTTTTTTTGGGGGGCAGTGTTTTTGGTGCTACATGAGCCCAAAAAGGCTCCTCACTTCGTGTTACGCCCTTTTAGGTGCTACGACCAACGACCCAACCACTCCCAACGGTGAGCGGGCGCTTGGAAGCCCGTTTGGGGTGAATATGGGTACACATGCCAGCCCATCCTGGATGGTTTGGAGTACGGTTTCGTCCAGTGGTGCTTTCAGCTGAGGATTTTTCAACAGTTAAAGCCACCAACCAGGTTTGGCTCCCCAAACCCCTGCGGATGTATCGACCTTTGCGAAGACGGGGGGTCCAAGGATTCAGGGAGCATCTCCATGTAAATCTGCCAATCCCGGACAGGTCGTCTTGGGGTTGGGGTGGGTTTTCGGACCCATCCCAGGTGGAACATGGGCACAGTAGGTTTAGGGTTTAGGGTTGTTGCCTGGCTTTGCTTGTTGCCCACGCCACGGCTTCAACGGCAAGGAGCAGCGGCCGGAGCACGGTGAGATCTCGTCGGATGCGGATGCGGTTTGGCTCGGGATGCGGGGCTGCCCAGGGTTCTCCGTGCTTTCTTGGACTGCGGGTGTGTTCCATGAGCCTGGAGATGGAGACGGGTATAGAGATGGATGCGGCTTCATGAAGAGGTATAATTGTATAATTACTGCATATTACTGCATATTACTGTCCGTTGCCTTCAGGAAGAAAAACTGGAAAGTGGACCATGTTTCCATCATGTTCCGTCAACGGTGAGATGAATGAGATCCATTGAAGCTCTCAGTGGCATGGCAATTTACCCATTAATACAAGGCATCGCAATACAAGCCTGGTATTTTGAGGTTATGTTTTGTTTCCCCTGTGGGTGAATTTCCTTATTGGGGACAATATGTTTTAAACAAATTGTCCAGTTCCTGGACAGCAAATCTGAACAAGGCTCAGCACCTTTGGGGAATGATTATGTCAAGGTCAGAATGATGACTATATTCTATGGATTATGAATATGAATGATATTTATATGAATGATTGCATATGATTTCCATATTCTATAGTCATTATTCAAAAAGCAGAGTCTTCACACCAAGGACACCACAAAACTCGGAGACTTCTCGGATGTGTAGTTGAACATCTATATTGTAAGTGAGGCATAACCAATATATTTTCTCAGCAGCTGCTTCCGTTCAGGGTCACCTGGCTGGATATCTCCACACTACGTAAACAGGTCTCCTACTCCAGGGCACCCCGACAGGAAGTGCTTGGTGGTGATCCACTTGGAGGGAGATCCCTGCAAGAGTCACATGGGGGTTATGCACTCACAGAAGGGACCAACAAAAACCACCCAACTCCATGTGACTCCTGAAGAGGTTTCTTTTCTTTTTTATCGCAAACAGCCGGTGATCCCTGGGGCCCCATCCCATCCTCGCGCCCAGGAGCCATGAGGCCGTACCGCTCGCACCGCTCGCGCGAGCAAAAACAGGACCACGCGGCAGGGAGACCGACCCTCCGCGGAGGACGGCGGTCCGGGCGAACGGGGGACGCGGGACGGACGGCGTGCAAGGAAGCTGTTTCTTTTTTGGTTGGTTGGTTGGCCCGGACGAAGCTGTTAACATGGAAGTGAACACTTGGTATACTTGTAAAAATGGGTGATCCTTTTGGGCCCATCTACGATCTACGGTGAGCGGAAGCTTCGAGCTGTTTGGGACCGTGAGGTCGTTTCACTCTGAGAGAAAATACGTTTCACTGCCGTCGTTTTTGGTTGTTTTCTTCTGCCACAATGCTTGAGCCTTGTGGCCGTGAAATGAACCTGAAAGATCAAACCCTATATAGGGCTCCTGGCCTACATCATCCTTTTCGAAGATGGGCCAGGGGTGGGTGCCAGGGGGGTCGAATACTGCCGAACCTGCGGATATATGGGCCAGGAGCCCGAGGGAAATGACCCTCTCTACCCAAGACTGCTTGGTGTGAAGGATTCTTTCTAGCGCCACCTGAAAGCTGATTCAGCAAGCTTCTTTCTGCACAAGAGACGACTTCGTCCCAGCTCCGGTCAAAGCTAGCACCCCCTTGTGAGGTCCAAGTCATGGTCTGAAGATGTCTGACGACATTCTTGGCATGGGGGATGCAGCTACACAGCAAAGATGGACGAGTTGCACATCTTCAAATGACTGGTGTCTTCAGGCTGTTAAGACATCTTCAGTTCCAAAAAGGCTGTCCCACATCAGTTCCAAAAGGGTACGACTCGCACCCACGATGCTTCTCGCCCGAACCGTCGAGGAGCAGAAACCCGACTGGTTCGCACGCGTCGCAGCATCAGCCACGGACGGACGTCGGTCCAAAACGCAGCAAGGGTCCAAAAGCCGATCCAAAGAGTCCTAACCCAGACACGACCTGTCTGGGACTGCCATAGGACTGCCGCCCCAAACCTTGACCCCCCAAAAACCACCCCAACTGATCGGCATGTATGGCAGTCCCATGGAGCATCTGGGTAAGAGAATCTAAGAGACGATCAACGGAGATGAGTCAGGCATGATTCAACCTCAGGCATGATTCATGCGATCGAGGAGCCAAACACTACGTGTGTGTAAAGATTCATCAGCCTGGACCATCACACCAGAACCAAACATGGATCCGCCAAAGCCTGGATCCTCATGCTCCTTGGAACCAAAGAAGGCATAGCACCACACACCAGAAAGCCAACCTAGAATGCAAATTTGAAAGAGATGGGGGATGCCATCGAGCTACAAAAAACATGTGCAAGATTCAGGTAATTCTATAGACTTCTTGGATCTTCGCTCCTAGCATGACGATGGAGCAAGATGCCATGCATCTCGGACAGATTCCAGTGCATCTCGGGGCGAGGCTTTGGCCTAAAAAGTTGAAGCTACCCAGAAGTTCAGCGGACAACCATGGATTGGTTCAAGAATGTTCAAGAGCACATCTACAGGAAGCCAATGGTTTTTTGCTCCAAAACGGTGTCCAGTCCACCCAGAAAAAAACGTTGATGACCTGATGATAACCCGATAACCTGCGACCCTTTTGGGGGGGATTGGGGACTTAAACATGAGTGTGGACAGTTCGGGTTCACCTTGATTTTCCTGGGATCAAGACGGCCTCGGGGGTTTGTGAATGTTGTCCAGCAACATGTTGGCAAACATTTGGGAAGGCATTTTGTGGTTGACAGCTGAGGAAGGTTGGCAGTCTATGACCTTAGTTCAACTGAGTGACCCAATTTGGAATATCAGCTGTCTATTATTATATATAAACAACTCAATAAAACTAGACTGTATATGCTAAACCTTATAATAACCACCGTTTGTTTTCCACGTTGCTAATTGTTGTCTTTTCGTATGCAAGGACAAGAATTATTGTCCGGGGCATGTGTTACCGTAATCCATGAACATGGTCTATTTCACAACACTCAAATTTTAAATATATCAATATAGTGTTCAGGCTTTGGACGTGAAATACCGTTCAGGCATTCAAAAGGGCGTTAATTTTCATAATGGACGCAAATGTTGCAAGAACTTGTAAAGAGCTATCTTTTAGCATCCTGGACTGGAATCGGTATCTATCCCGGGTAGCAGGTATACTACACCATCTGACACATTTAATTCTGACCTGTTGAAGGCTGGTGGTTTAAACTCTATAGACTCATTATAAATTACATCTCATGAGACTCCATTGAATTTAATTAGAATCTATATAGATATAATGAGATAGACCATGAAGAGTCTCTAGACTCTGGACTCTATCTCAAGACACTCTTCTCATTGGTGTTTCCGTTGGGATCTCAGACAGACCGGAGCAGACAGCTCTTCGCAAGGATGCCAAGCCTCACCGATCAAGCTCTGTTCGCCGTTCGTGTGTGCGGTTTGCGGTCGTTTCAGGGCTTTGCTCAAGGAGATTGGGCCGGGGCGCCCCACAAACGAACGCCGGAACTGGCAGGGCGACGCGGGTGTTCGGTCTCGGGCATCGGTTTTTGGGCGGATTCCGAAGCCATCCATGGGATGTGGAATTGCATGCACTCCCTAGAACTAACATGGTTACGTGGAGAATGGCCCCGAAGGAAGACCATTTTCCTCTACAAACCGGGGGTTGTCCACGTAACCATGTTAGTTGCTGGGAGAGTCATGGCTGCGGTCTACGCCAGTTGAACACCGTGTTTCAACCGAAAACTGGGGACTGGAGTCGGACGTGCTCAGGCCCCCAAGGGGCGGGTGGTCTACGGTGTCAGGTGTCCAGATGGTGTCTTGTAACGATGGTCCCGGAAGTTCAGCTTCACATCTGGCAGTGTAACGATGGTCCGTGCTTGTGGTCCCGAAGCCTGGAGTGACCGGGAATTGGATCAGACGGCAACTTAGTGAATGTTCTGAAGGGGCTCTAGACACACTCTGCCAAAAGGCTTCAGATGTCCTCGCAGTTCTTCTATGTTCTTCGTTCAATATGTCTGAAATACCTGGAGTCGACCCATTCGTACCGAACATGGGTACAAGAGGGTATATACAAGTAACTATACCTGTCTTGATAGGATCAGGTGCCATTTTCGCTACGAAGGGTCCGTCGGAGTCCAGTTGACTTCCAACCATACCCTCATATGACCGGTCGTCTTCGACCCCCCCTGGCACCCACCCCTGGCCCACCGAAGCGAAATGGAGGTGGGCCAGGATCCCAAACGGTTTGTAGTTCATCAAGGGAGCCACCGCGCTCCTGTCCCTTGCGTTACGGGCCCATGGCGTCTCTACATCCATCCAAGTGTGCAGAATAACACCGGTGGGTGCATATGAACTTAGCAGCTAATGACCCAGACATGACTAATGGGACTGGCAGTCCTTTACCGATCAGTTGGGGTGGTTGAAAAGGGGCCAATAGCTCGGCATATATGGCAGTCCTATTAGTCGTGTCTGGCTTAAGGTGATTGGTGATTTTTCCTGCACTGAGTCAATCTTTTTTTGTGGGGAATATGTTGGGCTCCTTAAGCAAATCCAAGTTCAAACAGGGAGACCCCCCAGGCAACGACCCCCCCTGGAAGGGAATTTTGGACCCAGTCCAAGAAGCCAGGGGCGATCGAGGGTGTCCCGGATGTCAAACACACACCCAATATATCGAGAAAATCAGCATGTTCTTTTTGTGGTGGCAATGCCCCTATACATCCTATACTATACACATGTACAAACGCCTTGATAAGGGTGGTTTCTTCCCCTCAAACCACCAATATGAGTCAATATAGTTCTAAATCCGCCGTTCAGAATCTATTGGGACCTGGAACACGTGCCGGTCACTTGGGGTTAGTCAACCGGTCAGCTTGGTTCGCCCCATTCAGGGACCGTGGATGTGGATGTGGGGCACCCCCCCGATCCTTCCGACCTCGGGACCGGCAACCCGAGCGAGGTGTGACTCCTTCTATAGGTGAATCTTCCAGTTCCCGTGGATGGTGATGTCGTGCATGTGGTGTCCAGATCTGGAGAGCGTCCAGATCTGGACACCTCTCTCTTCCTGTTCGATCACCCAACTCCAGAGGTCACCCCAACAAAGAGGGAGCCCCGGCCCCGAGGAATTTAGGATAGATCAGCAACTTTCATCCACCTCATCCAACATTCCCTAGGGCGTGGGTGGGGGGGTCGAAGACCACCGGTCACCGGAGCCTCAAACGGGATTTTGGTTGAAAGGGTTTTCGAGGCGTGTGAAGATTGAGCTCAACTCGATGGCGGAAGGTGCGGAGTTTTCTTCGGCCAGGTGGAGGGATGGTGGAGGGTTTGTATTGGGGGTTGGTTCGGGTCGAGGAAGAGAGGGTTGTGAGGTGAAGGGATGAGGGTGGGGGTGCGGAGGTCCGTCATGAGCTTCAAAAGATGGATCAGACTGGCCCAGTCTGGTCCAGTCTGATCCAGGCTTAACCTGGTCTTTTACTTCATCTATATTCGAAAGCATTTTTGAGCATACCAGCTCCAGCTCAATGTTATGTATCTATCTCAATGGTTTGACCCTGAAACCATCCATCCCAACTCTATCTCACTGGTTTGACCCTGAACCCATCCAGTCCAACTCCATCTCAATGGTTTGACCCTGAAACCATCCATTCCAACTCCAATTGTATATAGATGAAAATATGAAAAATATGAATGCCCAACTCAAATGATTAATATGAATGAATGAAGCTGAATTGAACTCATGAAACCAACGCCCATATGTCCTGTCAAACACCACCAAAGATCTCGCAATACTGGTGCATCTCAAGGCCCTGCTTTTGCAGGGTATCAGCTCGGTTGCGACGCCCTTAGATCTGTACAAAAGGTGCAAGGCAAGCACCAAACCAGAGCACCACAACACAAAACATCCAAAAACAAATGAAGCATCCAAACTGACAACATTCCACATCGAGAAACCTTCCTCAGAAGCCAAGAAAGGAAACATGGAGATGAGCCATGTTTGCAGCTCCATTAGTGTCAACACCGGTGCACGAACCATGATCAAGATCCAACAATGCACACTCAGAGCAAAAAAACGGCTGCAGGGTGCAACTAAGTGAGTTTTGTCCACCGCCCTTGACATGCCTGAGATAGATACTTTCTTTTTGATCCTACGCAAATCTGATAGTATGTTCATAAAGCCCCTTGATATATATAGTAGTGTTTTGGCATGACCAACTCCAGCGACATGAGCTCAAGCTGATCTGTATGGAGGGAAAGGACGCATGTCTTTCAGACCTTGCAGGTTTGTAAACGTTGCGATGATTTTTTTTGGTTAGTACCTGAGCCATTTGGAACCCAGCCTAGCCGTTTGGGACAATCGCAGCTGGGATTCTTTGGGTTTCCTGATCTCCAATAACTGCAGCTGGGACATCTTGAACTTGCCAGTTGGTTTCAGGGTGTCATTCTCAGCATGTCCCGAACACTCGCCGCTTGCTCTTCACATTGGTTCACTCCCCAGAACCTCCGTGGACTGTATGGCAGTGGGTCAACCAGCTCAACCCTTAAACCGTGGGAACGCATAGACATCCATAAAGGAATCTGTTCTTTTCAAGGGTCAACCTGATTGCCCCGGTTTTGGACCCCCACAGCCGTATATCTTTTTCAGGCCAGTTCTTGTTGATGTTTGATCGCCTCGGGATACAAGCCGACGACCATTCCAAGATCATGTGGGGATCTTGGGATCCAAGGTCTTTGTGAAACGATCAGAAGGGATAGATCCGGGATCCACGCCGGTAGCTGATCCTCCATGAGGGGTTCATGGCGTTGAGTGGTGTATATGTTGAGGATTGATTGGACTGGCTTATGACTCCCGATCAGGCCAGGATCTTCCAACTATGTAACATGCATAACTGCCGTATACAAAACTTTGCACAGTTGGAAGATCTATATAGGTATACACATCATTATATTCGTGTCTATAGTCCATATTTGGATACTGTTGGAGTACATCACACTTCAGCACAGTTGTTGTTTTTGTCCTGCTCGGCCCAGGCCGAGTCTCCCCTCGAGTCACTCGGCCCTGCTTACTCCACACCCGCATCCTACTGGTCAGATCAACCACAGCCACACCTAATCATTCAGCACCCCGACAATCCCCGACATCCTGCTGGGCGAATTCCTTGTGTTTCTTTTTTGTTATAATAACTAAATTAAGGGAACATGCTACAGAAAACGATATGGTGTTCACTCTTGAGAACGATGAGAATGAATATAGCCAGGCACTTGATGTACCTACATTCCCTACAAGTCCATTCCGACCCAGTAAAAGCAGGTCTTTCTTCCCTCCAAACGAGTATGGTGTGAAAGACCTGACTAACCGCAGTTGTTTATTTTTTTTTTTTCGGTCAGTTCCTGACCTGTAGGGATTCCTGAGTTTGTTTACACGTGATGTATGTTCCCTTTGGTTTTTTCTTCCCCTTATGGGAATTATGTGTTTCAAGGCCTCAGATTAGGGATCCAGTCGTACCGAACCTCAGCAGGTGATGTGTTCGACACCGCTATGTAGGTTTGGAGGGTCCAAGTATATACCTTCTGAGAAGGTACTTGGATCCCTAGGGTTTGATTCCTCAAACCACGAATCAAGATCGCGAACCACCGATCGGTGCTCGCTCCAGGTGCTGATCAACGGTCAGAGCTCGAGGCAACGGTGGAAACGCGAGGAACGGGGTACTGTGATGGATGCTGTTGATGTGTGATGAAAAGAAAACCCATGGTGTTTGTTTGTTTCATTGGAAACGTACATGTTGCATCATGTTGCAGGAGTCATTTTGAAGGGATTTGGACAGTGCTTTTATCTGCATTTTGCAGTTTGCAACCTGGTATAGAATAAAGTGAAAAAACGAGTCACCAATAGACTACACTGACTACTAGACTGGACCTCCATTGGGCGCCCGAATTGGATGATCTAGTAGGGCAGTTGGTGGGTAGTAGAATTCGTGATTTAGAACGATTCATGTGGATCATCCAGACCAATGCTTAAGACAATTGATGGATCTCGCAAATAAAAGCTCGTTCCCTGACACTGTGTGTTCGTTTTGCTTCCACGCCGAGTCATCACATCGAAGGCCAAGCTGGAGCGCCTCACTGCTGAGCATTTGGCAGCCACGAAGGCCACCAACTTGGGCCAACTTGGCCGGAACTTCGAAGGAATTCTGGAAGCCTATCCACATACCTTCTTACAGAGGTTAAGTGACCTGAACTAGGACCCTACAGGGGTAACTATAGGATAGTCGAACTAGGGTTCTTCAACCTCTGCTGGTTCTTACAGGGCATTTGGGCGCGTTTCTTTTGTCTTATGAGGGAGACACCCACCGAATGGGGTTTTGGTTTGCTCTCCTTCTTCCAGCGATGGCGAGCTGGTGACGTTGACCCCACCCACCCCGGTTGGCCGTTTCTCGGGGGTCAGACCGGTCATGGTTGGTGGTGCAGGTGATGTGTGTTTTCTTCAGGAGACCTCCACCAGAACCACTCAGTTCGGGTATTTGATAGACCCCCTGACGATGTAGAATCCAAAAACCACCCCAAATGGTCGGTGCTGGTCCAGAGGCCGTTTGTTTTTGTGACAGAGACCGGATGCCGGACTGAGCTCTTTGCAAAGTTCAGAGGAAGTTCTAGTGAAATGATCGGCGTCCAATCACTTCATCCATTAGGGTCTGAGTGGGCATCGGAGTTATGGTTTTGCGGATTGAGTGATGTTTATTTTTCGCAACGGGTTGAATCCCCTCTAGAGGAATATGAATGTCTTTTTTGGGTTCCTCATGCAAATCCAAGTATCTAGCTGCAACCAGGACATTCAGGTGAGATAGGGTTTGGTCATGACGTCCAACTCTGTTGGGTTTCATGTGAAACAACCTGGAAACCTCAATGTTTCAATTGGTTCCTTCATTTGCAGTTTGGCCAAGTGATTAAAACAAACCCAAATCTATCAGGCACCTCAGCCCATTCCTTTTTCTTGGATCATTCCAAAATGCCGCCCAAGGCATTCACCAGCCATGGACTCTTCTTTTATAAGACCAATCACTCCCCCGCCCACTGGATTAGAGTTTCTGGCTGCTCAGTCTCAGCCGCTTTCAGGGCCCACCCAGCCGTCGAGACATGAGCGAGCCAAACAGCACAGTGGGCAGTTCCCCAGCCGAAGGCTCGTGGTGTGGGAAACTCTCCCCGCGCGCACATCGCGCGCCCGAGCGCGGGTTTGGGATCTTGTGCTCTTCAGACAGTTTTATGCCGAAGTCTCCAGGACCACTTGGATCAGTTTCTTCGTTCATGCCCTAGAACATAGAAACCTGAAGCAAACAAAACACTGGGTACATCTGGGGCCCCATGTGTCGGTAGAGGTACGTTGAAAAATGTTGAAACATCGTCTCAGAAGCACCCCATCCACTGCATGTGCTGTTTTTGTTCAACTCTTTCAATGCAAGTTCCTTGAAATCTATTCCACGTCGGATCTATAAATATAGTCTACTGCCAGGACCTTCAAAGTGCCCTTTTGAGATCCTAGAATGAGGTCACTTAGTCCCTAAAGAGGTCACTTAGAGACTCCAAAGAGGTCACTTTGAAGGTCGTGGTGGATCTCTTTTGGACAACCGATCCTAGAAGGAGGCATCAGAGCTGCTGGCCTGCGCTCACGAAAAACATCACAGCCTAGCAGTCTACCCGGAAAAAGAGTGGATGACCTGCAGGTCACCGTTTTGTTGAGCGGTTCAATGCGACACTCTAAACAAGACCAGGTGGAAAGTTCCTCCAGTTCACCTGTCTCTTCTCAAAAGAAAAGGCAGAGACATGTCAGATCCAATCAGAGACATGTCAGACTGAAACATCTCCAATATATGCCAGACACTCCATGCGATCGCCATATATGCCTACATTGACCCCTGAAACCACCCCAATGTAGGTAAATATGCCAGTCCCATGGAGTGTCTGGGGGTTTGGGTCTCTCCTTCTTCCAGTGACGGCGAGCTGGTATGTGACCTCCATTGACCCCAGAAATCAACCACCCCGGTCGGCCTCTTCTGGGTAGTGGAGGACTGCCAGTCCCAGACAGGTGGTGTCTGGATAGAGAGGACCACCCCAGGTCTCCGATGCTGACAGCCAATCATGTGAAACACCTCCAACATGCTTCATACCTCAGGAGCATCCAAAGCATCCTGAGTGTCCTGGCTGCACGCTCTTTCGAGCCCCACCACTCACTAGTTGGGGATCTCCCTGTACCCAGGATGGTCCTGGTGATTCATCCAATTTTACTGATCGACTCCTGACTTCGCTGGTGGCCATCTCGCGCCCCTCAAAAAAGCGTCGCGAGGCTCACCCGCGGACACCGCGGCGCCCATAGAGTCTGCCAAAGCAAAGGAGTCGCTGGGCGGCAGGCTACGTGTCGGAGTCGCATGTGGGTGACCCCCAAGTTTGGTGGTTTATATAGCAGAAAGACATCTTAGAGCGGTGCCGTCGAACCTCTGAAAGCGCTCTAAGCAGAAAGATATCAACTTAAGATGAAAGAAGAAGAGTCCCAGGAGCCGCGAAGTCCCAGGCTTCTCAGGGCTCCGTCTCGTGCACTGGAGGGCGTCATGGGACGCGGCGGCGAGAAGGTAGAGAACAGGACCCGTCCATGTGGGTAGAGTGTTTGTGGCTGAACGGTCAAGAGGCACAGGAGAACGCAGACACAAGGACCACAAGGATGCACTGAAGGCCCTGGGCCCGTTGCTCCGGGCGGTGTCATGGAGGAGCGCGAAGCAACAGACTCACCGAGGGTCGATCCAACGGGGCTTCCCAGTCTTCCACGAGTTGAAACCAATACAACGTGGACCACATGGACCGCGTCCACGCGCACGACAACGAACGCTTCTACTCGGCTCCGGAAGAATATATGTGTCGTGGCATGGGAGCGGTGCGGCATTGGATTTATCGCGCCTGGTTCCACGAGAAAACGGTCGCCTGGGACCATCCGAAGGTGGACGACTACAAGCACACCAATGGGTACTACCTCGATCAACATCCTTCCACGAGTTGGAAGGACTTTCACTATCGAGTGTGGTGCACCCGGGGCTGGCAGTTCGTCTTAGGGGCGCAACCCAGCCGTCCTATTTGGGAGGCTTGTGACCGATGGGAGCAGGCCCTGTACGAAGAGGAACAACAAGTTTTGGTCCAACAAGATCGAAATCCACCGTGCTCGCATCCTCGCGGCGTGAAGCGCCAGGCGGTGGAGAGCCTGGAGCGAGAGCGTGTAGACCTGCTGATCCAGAGTATGATCGAACGATTCACATGGATGTAGCCGGGAATCCTGCACTTCGCCATTTCACGCCTGCGGCGCAACATGAACTCATCGATGGTTTGGTGCACAATCTTTCCAGGTACCAACAGGAGGTGAACGCCGCCACGGTGTCTCACTTGGGGGGGAATCGGATGTGGTGAACTCGTGTGGAAGGTAGGAGGTCGGAAGGGACCCCATCAGTTCAACGGAATGAAGGGATCCACGTCCGCACCTCGGCCTGATTGAAGCGGCTGCCATTTTTTTAAAGAATCAAACTGCTAATTCTGCCAGAAAAATGTGTTTTCTTTCAGAAACCTTTTTCCCGAATGCGTAGCGAAGGGTTCTCGCTTAACTCTGACGAGTAATATATAAGGGCCTCCAGTTGTCTAGTGCGTACTAGGGGGCACGGCCTTGGTGGGAAGTGCGTTTGCGATGCGCCGTACCACTGGGGAGCGCGAAACATGCTGGTGTAAACGCGGCGTGTCGCTGGTGAGCGACAAGAGCGTCCCACAAGAGTGTCCTAGAAGAGTGTCCCACAAGAGTGTCCCGTAAGAGTGACCCACAAGAGTGTCCCACAAGAGTGTCTCACAACAGTGTCTCGTAAGAGTGTCCCACAAGAGTGTCTGTCCTACAAGAGTGTCCCACAAGAGTGTCCTACAAGAGTGGTATTTGGACATATGTAGTTTTCAAACGTCTTTGCACTCGGGTGTGGGCTCCATCTTGTTTTTCTTGGAAAGGCGAATTTAAAAGGGCCCCACCTTGTTTTTCTTGGAAAGGCGAATTTGAAAGGGTCATTGGAGAGTCAAGGTAGTTGTAGAGATGTTCGATGATGCTTGATTGTGTTCCTTGTATTTTGCCACCACAGCCGCCTGCCGGTGTGAATCAACAGAGGCTCGTGTCTTCGCTTCTCCCCATTCTTCGCGGCCCGTCCCATCTTAAGACCGCCTCGTTTGAGGCCCGACAAGCCGGAGAGGCGTGAGAGGATCGGCGCTCGCCACGTGGCCAGCATGATGCCACCGGGAGAGGAGGAGGGGTGAGGTGGCTGCCTCAGCGGGGACGGAACACCATTCAAGCCGAGACTGGGACAACGGTCACATGGGTCACAGCGCTGGGTCAAAAAGCGTTGGAGCATGATTGAGTCCCAAAACGCTCGGATGGGACTGGCATATTTATCGATTGATCCCTCCCTGGCCTGATCGGTAAATAGGAGTCCACCGTCCAATAGGTCACCACCTGCCACTTTTGACTCTCCATTTCACCATAGAGTCGTGTGATGGTACCATGGATGGTCTGGAGATATACCCATCACCCAGACGCTCCAAAGAGCCCGACCGGTCCCTCAAAGCTTAGGGATTGATGAGAATGATGAGAAACACCAGACCCCTCCAGAGGATTCAGGTCCAGGGTCGCGTCTGGGCAGTTGAGAACAACATTTTCGCAGGTCGGTCACCCAAACTTGCGAGTCCCATTTTTCCTCAGACCGCCGTGCATTCATGACGCCGTTCCGGGCCAAAAAGATGACCCGAGGGGATAGTGGGTTGTGGCAAGTTGAAGAAGTACCAAATACCAGGACCTTCCAACACGTGGCATGTGGGTCTAAGGAACTATCTAGACACCCCTTGTTCCATTTTGTTCCCGTAGTCATGGTACCAAGTGTTTGGATGTGTTTTTGAATGGGGAGACCCCCATTCTCGCCTCAGAGGGTTTTGGACTATGATGGATCCACAGGATCTCAGGCTGTTGGGCTTCTATTGCACCGCAGATCGAAGAGAGTATGCCCGTAGAGGACAACAAACAACCAGCCACTGCCAACCGCTGGCCAAGTATTGTATACAGTATTGTCGTGCGTACACCGCGTACACCCTTGAACTGCAAGAGCGTGGTGTGCGCAGTACACCACCCTTCCTTTTTACTACCTTGAGGGAAACGACGCAACAAAAACTCCGAACCCTTGGGCCCTTGGATCTGATTGAGTCTTCGTCGTCTTCGAACGCTCCAGTCCAATGCGGTCCATTCCGGACGGTGATCTCGTGCCGCTGGCCGCTTGTTGCCGCTTCGATCACCGGTCCACGGATTGATCCACCTGCGGTTTTCACCAAGACCTGCCCAACAACCCTCAACTGAAGACCTGTTGGCCTGGTGCTTCAGTGACCTGACAAAGGATCCGTCACCCGGGAGAGTCGATGAGCCCTTCGAAGCAAGACCCGCCCCAGGCAGCGGCCCGCCCAAGGCAGCGGCGAAAACGCCCCTTGGCCCGTGCAATTCCAGACGCTCCAGACTGGCTCCATGTATGGAATTTTTGCATACATTCAGTGTCAGGTGGTTTCAGGGGTCAAATGTAGGCATAGTTGTGGGCAAACATTCTAGCCCCATGGACTGGGAATCCGAATACATATCCCCTGCTATAACAGATGCTTCAACAGACTCAGTCACCATTGATGGCCGGTGTGTTTTCCTGGTTTTGCAAGGTGATCTAGAAGATTCTTTGTACATGTGTGATTTTTGGTAATCTGTGCTTACTTTTTCCCGATTCCTTAATTAAGCAAATCTCAGGTTTGTTTGTTTGTTTTATCCAGGATGGCTGCACTCCTGGAAAATGGAATCATTCATGTAGGGCCTCTTAGAGGTCACTCTCTCCAGCAAAGTAAAATGATGTAGCTAGCACAAGTCATGGACAAACTTGAGTGACTAAAATGCATCCTTGGCTTGCGCTTGAGTAGTCACTATATAGATTGTTTGGTATGCGCACAATGCGTTTGCGCTCGGCAGCCTTTATGCCCCTATAGTGTTTGTTGATTTTCTTCTTCCCCAGGCACCTGGCTCTTTCATTCCAAGTCCCATAGGGTCCAGCTACGCGTCTTTGGCCCTTTTCACAACTTTAGAACAGGTCGCTCAAGCCCAACGCAGCTCTTCTACGACTGCAGCAAGGTATTAAGGGTACCTAGCTGCAAGGTATTCCAGCTCTTGGTGTTTTGGCTTCTTATACCAAGGCCTGAGTTGGAACGCCGGGGCGCCCATGTAGCACCCCGGAGCGCCGGTGTTGGTTTGGTGGTTTTCCCTTTCGGTTGTGGACCGGTGTTGGCGTGGGTGCTGCTGCGGTTCCTGCTGCGGTGTGGCGGGAGTCATCACCAACGAACGAAGGGACAATTTTGCCTTAAAAACTGCCTTCTGTAGACATATATAGGGTCAATCTAGGGTGTGTCCCAGTACAGCAGTCATAGGTCAGCAGGGTACAAGTTCAGAACTTTTGAGATGGGTAAGCCGGGCCTGCATCCTGCAACCTCTATAACCATCATCCACTGGGCCCTGGTAATGGGATAGGCTAGCCATAAATGGAACAGGTAGGTCAAGCTTCATGTGGTTGGTGTCCAGCTATTGATGCCATTGGCTTTTGAGATCTTTCGAGCAATGCCTGCGGAGACCGTTTGGATGGTTTGTATACCAACCACCGAGAACGCCCGATGGTACAAATACAAGAAACAACTATAGGGAGCGTTGCCCAGCCATTGAGAAGTGTACAGCTTGTGCAGAGATGTGCAGATGTTCGTCAGCTGCCACTTTTGCCAAAACAGAGAATCATTATCCCCAAATGAAGGGTTATAAGGGTTCACAACCCACCAACATACACAATAAACAGCTCAAGAACAGTTCCTACGAACTTTGCATGTTGGATCCTTATGTTGGCTTCCTGAAACAGACGAGGTGTCCAATGTTTTCAGGAACAGGCCCAACCGGAGGCCTTCGAGGTTCTCCAAAGTGTTCGCCACTCAAAAGATGGTTTGGCGGATCAGCTGACTGGTGATTTTCCCGGTTACTGGGTCCTTTTCTGTTGGCATGTCGGAAGATGTTTGGATGCTGTTCCATTTGCTGAAGCAGTTTTCAAGTACTTGACATATGGTTTTTGCGAGCTTTTGGGGGCGGGTGTTTTTTCAATGTTCTCCAGCAGACTGGGTGCGTCCCCGGAAACTGCTGAAAAAAATAACAGATTTGTTTCACTTTTCCTACAGAGGTTAAGTGACCTTATAGGACCCTACAGGGGTACCTATAGGATAGTCTATAGGGTTCTTTAACCTTTGCTGGTTTCCAGTTCCTTGAACAAAATCCAAGTTACTTCGAGCCATCCCACCTGCGGAGGTTTCGTGGTTAACTGCGTGAGGGAGGAGAAACAATATGTTTGAGGAGACCAAGGGTTTGCCGTGTTTGACCACTGAAACCTCAGTGGTTGAATGTTATCCTCATGTCAGCGATGGCAGTGGGTAGCATGGCCAAGACATGGGAAGACACTACTGCTTTACAAACGATGCCTTTGTCGTGTTGTCGTGTTTGTGTTCGTCGTGTCCTCGTGTCCCCCTGTTTCATCGGAGGAAATCCGATCGAAAGAAGTTCACAGCGAGGCTGGCTGCAGAAGCAACGGCGGAAGGCACGAACGTCGCTGTCGTTGGAGCGGTGCGTGTGTTCTTCGGTGCTAGCAGGTGGTGTTTGGAGAGGGTTCTTGAGGGAAGTGTTGCGGGGGGAAAATACTTACCCTAGGGATCCAAGTACCTTTTCAGAAGGTACTTGGACCATAACCTACATGAGAGTGTCTCCAATCACCTTCTGAGAAGGTACTTGGATCCCTAGGGTTATATATTGAGAGTACAATATGAGGGTTGGTATGGTTGGAAGTGAGTTGGCATGGTTGGTTTTCTTCGGTCCCCAGTTCCCTGCCCTCCAACCCGCCCTCCAATACACCTCACAATCCTCGGGCTGCTGGCTGCCTGATGAAAATGAATAGCATAGCAGCTGGACTTCTTAGGCACCAATTGGACAGCCGGGGAGGCACCAGGGAGGCACCAGGGAGGCAGGAAAGGAGTATGCCAGACTGTTTCTTTCAAGGGTAGAGCATGTAGAGCTGAGTGGTAGGCAGTTTGCCCCCACACCTGTGTGGTGTTCTCACACTTGCTTTGCATACCGTCTACCTCCACCTCCCCACGCCTCCTCCGCCCACACTCCTCACGCCAGCGCATGCCGCATGACCATACCATGTTCACCATACTTCACATTGGTGTTCACTCTACATCCACAATGTGTTCATCCATTGATACCCATTGTGTTCACCATCATATCATCATATCCCATGTATTCACCATCAATGGGATGGCACTCACCATCACACCCATCCACATTGTGTTCACCAGTCGCGGATGGAGTTTCTCCTCATCTGCACACGTTCATCCGCGATCATTCCTCTTTCTTCTGCTGCTACGCCCCCACTTGTAAAAAGCAGAAAAGGCCACACGTGGACGTGGGCATCTGCGATCCTTGAATTAGACTTCTAGATCTCTTGCTCATCCCGCGCAGTACAACAAGGACCGGAGCCAATTCATTCAGCGATCGCTTTCGGCGGCACTGTATCGATATATAGCTGTGAGTCTGCCATGTATTATCCCTAGGCTTCCAACCACCAACTAAGGATTTTACACTACAAACACCAGGTCAACCAATTTTGTTAATGGTCTTGGAAGTCTAGGGTTATGCCATGATATGCCATGCATGATTTCCCGAGTAGGCCGCTTTGAAGCTCTCGCATGCCCACCCGGGCTCATCTCTTTGAAATGACTGACGCGACCCCTCCTATTGAATCACCAAGCTGAGTCCCTGGTGAATTCCTCCCCCGATCGAACCATCGCAATTTTCTCAAGGCATCAGATGAGGGCCTCAACTTTTCCGGCGGAGGCGCCGAGGGCCAAGACGAGCCCTCCAAAAGATGTGGCCGCGCGGTGTGCACCACACACAGTTCTACTCGTGAAAGCGCAGCAGCAAATAGACATGTGACATGCAGTTCTACTTGAGCAACAGGAGTAACATTGATCATGGGACACCATCTTTGGGCAGGTTTGGGGTCTATAATTTTTTGTGAGAGGTTGGAAGTTCATACCATGTTGTTCTTGAAACTTTAACAATCACCATTTGCGTTGTCAACTGGGTGAGTCGGGCTTAGCTTTAGCTGGGCACAATTATGTGATTCTGCCACTTTGCTACCTTTGCTAAAGACAAACAACAATCGCAGTGACATCAACGAAACGGGTGCCCAAGATCCCAAAACCATACAAAACCATCCCATAATAGATTTCCACGTGTTCGCAATTTCACGTTGAAAAGAAGACTCAGCCACTCACAGGATTTATTTCTGTGCAGATGAAGTTGGATGCCCGTGCCTTTACGGCTCACCCGAACCGACTCAACCTGGTTTTCCGAATTGGGGGGTTGTCCCAGTAATGTAGACTCTTGATTAGTAAACCACTCCATATGAAGAGGTGTGTCAATTCAAGTGGGGTGGGGGGTAGAGAGATTGTCGGGCAGAACACCAACCAAAATACCCAATCTCACACACCACATTCATTTCAGACCGCTTGACTCGTCTCTTTTGTCACTCACTTCACTTACTTGATCAACACACAACAAACGACAAGACATCTGGCTCAAAAAAGTGAAAGTGGTGATCTGCCCTTCAGATCGAACAAGATGAACTCACCTGTGATAGCTCTGCCACAACGGTTGCAGGGGCAATATGCCCGGAAGAAGGCTTGGTTTTTGCCAGTCCCCACAATCAAAATGACAGATTCTTTACACAGTACAGTTCTGTCACGGAACTCTGACCTCAGAACTTTGATGACGTTCTGGTTGTTGTCCGGTGAGAAGAGCCCGTTGGACAAATTCGCAGCCGATCTGTTGTATCATGAGACCGGCATCCTCCCATGGCCGACAACTAAGACAGGGAATGTAAGCCGTGAAGAGATGAACCTAAAAGTGAAAGCTTTGTTCAAATGCAGCGAAGAAGAAGCACGAATTCTGTTGGACTACCTGACTACCTGCCACTTGAAGACAGCCTAGACAATCTAGTCCAAGGGAGAGCCATGGCTGGGTTTTCTGAATTGGAATCAGAGGCAGAACCAGACTTTTCAGATTCTGCCATGGGGGTCCCAGAGATATACAAGAAACACTCTCTTCCGGACAAGTTTCCCACAGACAAGCTCAAGATGTTCCGCGATGCAAAAGACAGATACCTGGAATTTGAGTATCTGAGTAGTCTGCAAAGTCAACTGCAGCCCAGCTTTTGGGTTGACGATGGAGCCATTGGAATGTCACCGGAACAAGCACAGCTGCTCCGTTGGTATAATGAGCTGGAATCTGCCGACGTCAATGGATACTTTCCATTTGCAATGGATTCAGTGGTTGGTGATTATGTGGACAAAAATCAAGACAAGTTCTGAGAGGCCCAAGGGACTGAAAAGGGACAAAAGCCGTTCTCTCGAGACTCTCTCACAAGTCGACAAATCTTGCATTGCTTCATTACAGCAGACTTGTCGAATCCTGAACTTGCCACAGTGGATGCATTGGAATGGCATTACAAGGAATCTATGAAGTTCAAGAAGGCGAATGATGAAGGAGAGAGCTTTGAAGTAATCAAATCTTCAAGTGCAGCCGGGGGTGAGACAATTGAATTGGACGACCCTGCCGGAGCCACAGTGTCGAACATTCAAGCATTTGAAAGGAAGCTCAAACATGAATTCGCCACTTTGAACATCAACTTGCAAAAAGAACTTCACGATGCATTTTGCATCATTGGAGGTTTCACCTCAGGCAAGCGTCGTCAATCGAATTGCCGAGAATTGGGGTCAGGAACATGTGAGGGTTTCCTGAACTTCCAATACCTGAGGGTCTTGCAAGGTTGGATTGGCATCACAAGCCAATGCGATTGCAACGCAAAGCAAGTCTTCGAAGATTTACGCGTGCCAAACAAGTCGCGCCATAGAATCACTCTCGGAATGGGATTTTCATCAGGAGCCAATAAAGAAGCCCATATCAGAGGAGTGAAATTGATTTGCGGTCAGAAACATGCATATGGAAAACCACTACCAGGTGTAGGCTTGGTCGCTCTTGCATTCAAAGGCGCAGGTGAAGTACACAGCGGAGGATTTCCAAGTGCAGTAACCTCAAATGTGAGCCACAAGAGCATGGGTGAGATCACTTCGATCTTGAATGATCAGTACAGCTACTGTTTAGAGAGCGGATACACACTACCTCCGGGACTCCGCCAAGAATGCCTGAAGATGGTGCAGGTATACCGAGCGTATCTTGAAGCGAAGGGCAGATCTCGCGAAGTTGAGGTAATCAACAAGACCCCCTCGCTCAAGGGAGTCGGCCCGTTGCCTACTGTGAGAGCACAGTTTGAAAAGGAGATTGGAAAGACTGAAAAGAATCAGTTCAGGTTCCGCCCGCCTGAATCCACAATCGAAGCTGAGTACTCAAAGGAAGTGGATGAGACGGCTCTCGCGGCACAAAAGATTTCAGCACGTCTGATGGCCATTCGTGATCTCTATAGCAATATCCCAGCGGCTGCTGAAATCGCAGACATCACAGAGCGAGCAGCACAACTCCGATCCGTCCTATCGATGGACTTGAGCGACTTGCTGGATACCTAAAGTAGGGCAGATTCCTGAGAATGGCATTTTCATCAGCCTAGAACCCTAAGTTTTGTTCAAACTTCAAACGTCAGTATTTCATGAAATCAACCTTCTTTTGCAATGTCAGTCATTTTCTAAACAAACAAAGTATCTGGATTTCACATGGAAATAGTATATTACATGATAAACTCGTTATTGTTGTTTTGGATCTTTTGATGGAATCTAGGGTTCTCTCTTTTTGATCTGGAGTACACGATTCCTGAGCGCACTGTGAAAGATGGAAAAAGAGTGCAAATCAAGTTGGACTCTCTGAAATCCGGGTTTGTTTTCCGAATTCTCGCAGCTTTTATGCTTTAATTCGTCATGGCGACGGCCCGGGTCGGGACTCTGCCGGTCCATGCTTCCGTGGATCTTGTGGTTCTTTTGGAGGTCTGTGACAGCTTCGATTCCGACGACCAGTTGGAATTTCTGAGGCTAACAGATTCAACATGTCAGGTTCACAACTTTCTGTATGGGTATGTGACCAACAAACATGACTTGCGGGTTCAGGACTTCCTTGATCGTCTTGAAGTTTATCCCAGACTAGTGAGGTCTGCTGAAAAGAAGGTGCTGCTAAAAGAGATGGAGAATGTGAAGCGGGTTGGGCCTCCAAGTTGTGAGGCAGACTTTGCAAAGCTGATGGAAAAGAACCATTTGGAAATATTTGATGTCTTGGAGCTAGGATACAACTCAGTCAATGACGTTGTGACATCCAGGCTTCAGGAAATTAAGGCGCCAAAAGAACCAATGCTTTCAACCACTGTGAAGGCCATCAAAGAACTGTTAAAGGTGACCGGTTGGTCGAACCTGCTTTCTGGAGAGGCTGTGGAGTCCACCCTGAAGAACATTGAATACCGATATCTAGATCAGCTTCTGGCCGTGGAGGTGTCTAAATCAATCCTTTCGAAGAGGATAAACCCATACCAGCAATCTTTTGTGAGGATCAAAGAACTAGCAGGAAAGAAACATCATTTCACTTCCCAGACCGAACTGGAACTCACAGAAATGTTGGACCAGAGTTATACATTCCTGTTCTGGTTGTCCCTTCGAGAAGATGTTTCAAAGCCGGAAGTCAAGCTGTACGAGAAGATCAAGCAGCTCCTGCTGTCCACTCTCAATCTCACGCAGGAGGACAATTCTGGCAGGAAACGTGCGTCTATCATCTCTTCTTCCAAAGCCCTAAGCTTGGTATTGTATACGAGGGATGACAGAGAAAGCAGCGTGGAGTACAATTGTAGGAATGCTGGCACTAAGTTTTGTATTCCATCATGCCATCAAGTCACCACAAATACACCCATTCACCTATGCTGATAATTGGTCATTCATGTCGACATCCGAACGCGAATCGTTTCGCACCATGGTTAAGATTCTTAACCTTGTCCATGACCTCCGCATGCGCATTGATATGGAGAAGTCATGGGGCTGGGCGACATCAAAGCCACTTCGTCAGTTTTGGACAGATGCTTCACAGATCATGTTACAACCCAGCTTCCGGTTTAAGATTCGAAACGACGTGCAGGACCTGGGTTGCATGATATCTTATACCAACCAAGTTGTCCTTGGCCCGCTACGTGATAAAATTGACAATGCCATAGCCAAGTGTAACAGACTTAAAAAGATGAACTTAAGCTTGGAAGAAAGAGCCGAAAAAATTCAGACGGCGATTTGGCCCGCCACTTTCTATGGTGCATTAGGAATGACCATCGGAGACAAACATTTTACCAACCTTCGAAGAGCCGCCACCAATGTCATGGTGGGAGAACATAAACAAGCTTCAAGTCATATAGCACTGCATTTCTTGTCACATCGCATTCAAGACCCGTTGTTGTATGTTGTATCGGATTTGCTCACCACACTCAGGCGACTGTTTGTATATCACCCAAACCTTGCAAAAGGGTTTGTACACTCCCTTCGTTGCTATACAGGACAGGTGTTTGGCCCTGCGACTGCACTCGCCTCATACCTATGTCGGTTAATCTGGGAGATAACCCCTAATGGCCCCTAATGCTACACTGATCGGGCCTGGAGGGATGCGTTTAAACTTGCAATGTACCACAAGTAAAACCATCAAAAAGAATCTCAGAATCGCCTGGGACTGGCATTGCCACAATGAAGTGGCACACCGTAAAGGGGTGCCTTCGACTCCGTTTGACTCTTGGACAGCCAACAGGATTTTACAACAGTTCACCGACCGACAACGCAGAATCCTAGCATTAACGAACACTTCAGGATGGCAATCAAATGGAGTAATCGCTCAATGGAGCGCTACCCAATCCCCTGATTGCCCATTTTGTAAACAATTTGACACGCACAAACATTTTATCCTCGAATGCCCATCGTTCCAGCATATTCGAACTCAACACCTTGGTGCAGTGGAATACCTACAAACACACACGCATTTATGTTGGTTCCCTCTGCCGGTGCATTCCTCTGACATGGAACTTGTTCGGCAGGCCATGCACCACCGCTGCCGGACCGCCAATATTGACTCCCAAGTTGATATTCAGAATGGGGACGTTTTCTACACAGATGGATCATGCCAGCACCCCACAAGCCCATTTGTTGCACGTGCCGCTTGGGCAGTCATACACAGATCCAGGCATACCCATAATTCCGAAGATAAGTATAGAGTTCTTGCCACAGGACACTGCCCAGGGATCCAAACCATCAATAGAGCAGAGCTTTTTGCCATCTTGACAGCAGCAGAGCAGGCGAACAAGTCAGACGATGACGTACACGTGTCCTTTTTTACTGATTCACAGTTCGTTGTCAATGTGATTTCACATATTGAGGATGGCACAATTTTCAACTCTCCGCATAAAAGGGACCATTGGGATTTGATTGTCCAACTTTGTAGAGCTTGGATTTGCTCTAGATATCATGTGTTTAAAATTAAATCCACCAATGTCTTGAGAATGCACGATCTCACGAAGAGGAGTACCACATTCTCGGTAACATTTTCGCAGATGAAGCCGCAGTGCGAACATGTGCTGCCGACTTACCCGATTTTCTCGAATTATGCGAAAAAACTCGTAAGCATTACCAACAACAAAACCAGAGCCTCACCGCAATATATCGATATCTTCTCGAACTGTCTTGTGAAAGAACGAATAAACTAGACGACAAGTCATCCGAAACACAAAGACAGATAGCCAGCGACACCCCACAACCAGGTCCAGAAGACAGTAGACAGGTTGTTCTCACACCCTCGTTCACAGCCAAACTAGAGGAACTCAGAGATTGGCCGGTAGCTAATCGTCTATTCTCCCTTCCCATGGAGCCACACCGGGTTGGTTTTCTGGTCCTGCCCATGGGGATGTAACTACGCACGTCTCGTGTGGTCTTTTTGTGCCGTCCTTAAGTGGCCTGCTGAAGATGCACCGCCGACCCCTAAAGACCCAGGTATTTCTTGGACAGAACTTGCAGTGTCGTTTATGCTCTGGGCAGGGCGACCGCTGCCCATTCGACTCCCGGGCAAGACATTCGCCGAGATCCTTGAATATGATGATCCAAAAGTTAACCTACAACCGACGAAAATCAAATCTGTTCGAGTTCTAGCGGAAACATTTAGGCTGATCATTAAACATATACAGACTTTCTCCAGAACGAAACTTGTTCCAACATATAAATTGCAGGGCACATCAAGTCTTACGCGCCTCGGTTTCTCACGGTATCACGAGTCTGGAGTCTCCAGACACCCTGCTTTACCTAATGCAAAGGAGACCTACCAATACTTGCAGGAACTTGTTTTGACAATACCGCACAACCCGCCATTCCATAACGAAATTCTTCCCCTGACTATTCCTCAACGTAATGAGGCTCCTCCCTGGCCGAACTGGCCTGAGATAACGATGTCTAAGAGGGAGAAATTCACCCAACACATACGCTATTACCTATTTCGTAAGAAGAATTTTGACCTGGTAGTGCATCCCGGACCAAATTAGGTCACTTAAGACCTCTTAATTCACAGAATTTGTCTATTTGCTACGGGATACTCGCCTTGAGAAGCTAGATTGCCGATCTCCATGATTGGCCATTCGTTCGCTGGTTCCGCTTCGTAGTGTACAGTTAGTGTGTCTTCAGGTTTCTGGTAGTTTCCTTAGGTGAGTTTCACTCTCTTACTCCACCTCCGCCCGCTATACAATATAGCAAGGGAGAGTGTGGAAGCGCGTCAGATCCGACTGTCCGCAAGTCCGTTCATTCAAGTGGGGTGGGTTCATTCATCCAGAGTCTACATTAAACCAGAAACAGGGAGGACGGGATACCTGAGGGCTTTCAAGATGATCAGCATTTGGTTCAGATGTTGGAACTTCCGAACTCACTACACTGGCAGTGGAACATCCAACTTGTGCCACTGGTCATGCTATAGCATATGCTATGAGTGACCCAGACAAACCACTCAACCGGTGGACGAACGCAGACTCCGTGGTGACCGAAGGGTCCATGAAACGGAATGGTGACCCGAAGGGAAGGAGTGTGATCCGATGATTTGATGTGTGAGGTGGAACTTCTTGTAGTAGTAGTAGTAGTAGTAGTTGTTGTTGTTGTTGTAGTAGTAGTTGTAGTTGTAGTATTCAGAACAGATGCATGGTCCATCATGGTCCCAAGAATTTGTTTTGACATGTTTTAAGCATTGGGTTTTGTTTTTGAAAGCCAGGGGTCAGTCGCTGTTTGTGAGTTTTTGTTCAACATGGCCGGCTGCAGCCAGTGGACAGCTTTGGTTTGAGCCGCCGGTGCCGGAACCAGATGGACCATCACCCTGGACGCACGCGAACACTCGCCCTGAGGTGCCGTGAGCACTGCGGATGCTGGAGCTGGTCCTGGCGTGTCTCGGAGGACAAAAGATGGTGGTTACTTCAGATGTTGGGTGGATGAAGTGTTCACAGGGGCATATGCTGGTGTCATCACTGCAAGAGTAGAAGGTACTTGTAGCTCAGGTGGTGTCTTAATGAAAGTGACATGATGACAGTGATCTTTCAGAATTGGATTCCAGCATACTTTCATACTGTCTTCATGTCCAGGAACGTGTTGTTTTTCCCTTTCAGTCCTTTTCCAAAGACCATAGTTGACTCCTGAGCTTACGTAATCTGATGTGATGCGAGCGATGCAAGGTCAGTTTCTTCGCATCCATTCTCCTATCCACAAGTTCAGTGCCCACACACACGTCTAAAACCACTCCAATGTAGGCCAAGATGCCAGTCCCATGAGGAGTGGAACGTGGATCACCTGCAACCTCTTTTTGGGGGATCGGGACTCCTCAGGGTGTTCCCTCTAGCTCGGCCACATGAACAGGCGCATGGGAACTCGGGCTCGCTGAAGCCCGGGTCCGTCGGTGTTTGGGTCCTGAACCGTGGTGAGTTCCGCTCAGCAGAAGGAAGGATCGATTGATGCAACGATGGGTCCACATGGGTCTCATCCGATGATGCTAACGATGCTAACGATCTCTGCCGATCTCTGGGAGGTTTGATGGAAAAGGCAAAAACATTGTAGTTGGAAGATCGAGGTATACCTTCCTCCTTCCTTCTTGAGTATGATGCAGTCAAAACTTGGTGAATTGGGTCGACCTGGTGACTATGAGGCTGTTGCCCAAGCGCGTTCGGTGGCCAGCGGTCATCCTGGTGATGCCTCGTGGCAGCACCGCAGAGTTTGGGGTTTTTTAGGTCGAAGCTTCGCCGTGCAGCGTTGATCTGGTTGGTGGTTGAGTGGCTGGATCTACGTGTTGGTAAGACGGGATGCTTTTTCGAAGCCCTAGCTGGCACAGGTGATCAAGCGCCCTAGACGCTCTCATGCGAGGCAGGTGATCAAGTAGTATCAGTGGGCAACCGACCTGTGGTCGGACCTGGCCTCCAGGCGAAGCCCAGAGCTCGAAGCTTGCTGCGAAGTCACCATAGCTATGCAGAGCCTATGGGGGGATGGAATCAGCAAAGCAAAGGCAAAGGGAAACAGCAGACTTGGTGGAATGTTTGGCCGAATCAGACGAAGACACCAAAGCAGGTCAAGAATCCAAAGGAAGAAAAAGGACAGCAGCAAGCTCAAGACGAGAAAAGCAAGTCCGTCCTAAGGCATTGCAATCGTCTTCATCCTCATCCAGTGGGCAGGAGATACAGCAGTTGAAGAAGGGCGTCCTAGAGTATTTGCAAGCCAACTAGCCGAACTCCTTCACAAGATGCATTACAAGATGTTCGCAAGGAGCAGAAGCTGCTAAATTTGAAGAAGAAGCTTGTTGCAAGGATGGAAAAAAAGAAGGCCAAGCATTTTGAAAAGAAAGAAGCTTGGCAGAAGTTCATCGAAGCGATGGAAGAACGTCGCAAGAAAGAGTTCGAGGTCTTTACCATAGACCTAAATCCATGACCAGTCCTCTGAAGGAGTATCCGCCTGATCTCTGCGTCTTCCTCGCACAGCTGTTTCAATCATGGCTGGATAAGGATGACCGAAATTCGGAACCCCTTGAAGTTGAATTTTGCACTCAAAACTCACGGTGTAGGAATTCAAACATCTATAACCTCTCATTTGCCTGTGTGGTTGTTTCTTCATATGTCTAACGCTTACGTCTTGTCTTTGCCTTCATCCGCTTCTTCAGCGTCTCCTCAACAGACCTGAGACCTTTGTCTATATCATAGTGCACATTGCTGATTAGTTGTCCTTGCCATTTGTATACTTTTTAGGTTGTAAAGGTTTGTTTTTAATCATACCAAAATACTTGAACAATATTGCGGTTTAAAGGTCAGTGATTGATTTGAACTGAATGAAGATGATCTCTTCTAAAAGCCTTCTTGGTGTTACATGTTGAAGACTTTCGCTAACATATGTAGCAAGTGCGGGAAGAAACCGATGAAGTTCCAGCTTATGGAAAGCAAAAATTGGCGAAAATGGAGAAAACTTTGTGGAAAACGAGTTCAGCGACAACGAAGTGGAACAGACAATGAAAAATCAACTTGAACCTGAAAACTGAACAAGACACCAAAAGTACCATTAAAGCAACTACCACTGTGTAATCCCCATTGCTATTGACAATCTAAAATGGGTGTGGTTAAGCATGTTTTTGTCATCTTATATTACTCATTTAGTATAAGAAATTAACGCTTTTGACCCAACTTCATGACTTGAAACTACATCACTTGAAACACCTCTGACCTATCATAACACGTATTATATTTATATGAATCATGTTCTAGTAAGATGAGCGTGCTGAACCTTTATTCTTGGTAGCAACATGTAGCAACGCAAATCCTTTACACAGCAAGAACAAGTATTGTTTACTACCTAATGTCGCGACTGACATTTGACATAACAAAAAAAAAGAAAATTCTATTGATGTGTTGAATGCTGAACATGTAGGTGTCATTGCTGACTTTGGAAGTAGTGGTGATGACCAGAGAGAAAACATAGAACAAGAAGATGCAACCGTAACATACTTTGTGAGGTGTCATCCTATGCCTTCGCTCGACGATGAGGAAGGTGATGTTTTCTGGCATAAAGTATTTGATAGGCTGACAAATAAACAAGGAGTAATTGGATAGTCTTTGCATTCGTGGGGTTTGACATTAAGTTCTAAGAATCCAATGTATGAAAACCTTACGGGAAAAAAACAACGAACATGTGTTTTTTTTTAAACATTATCACTGTTTGTGGCAAGGAATTCAACCGTGATGGAACATTCATTGCCATCAATAGCGATGGATGAACTGTACGAGGCAAACAAACCTTGTCCAACACAAATCCGTGTCCTTGGAACATTGTTGGGATGAAATAGGACAATGGAAAGCATAAACACGATTTGCTCATTGTATTTTAAGCATAACATTGGTTGATTTGTTGAAATTAAACACCCAAACCAAACATAAAACCCATCAAACCTAAACAACTATCCACCTCATCCAACAACCGTGATCAGAGTAAAAGTTAGGGCAACAAATGTCCCATGACATGACACATCAACAAACAACCAACAATGAACGCTGTGATCTCCTAGCATCCCCTTTTCCCAATTCTTCCCCAAGCACCTCACCAAAACGGAGGTAGGCCAGGAACCCTTCTGTCGGGGTCATTCGGGCCTTTCACCCTCGCTTCGACCGTCTTCCTTGCCGTGCTTTCCTTCGGGCGGAGACACGACTTCGATGATTAGGGCCCGACAACCCGTTGGCGTGAGCTTTTCAGTTCCATTTTGCCTCGTGGGTGGAACCTGGGTCATCGTGATCCTGAGCAAAAATGGGTTGTTCGGGCATGTTCGACCCATTAAGTTCATGGTGGGCAGGAATCCTAGAGTTGATGAAGGCTTAGACCTTAGGAGGCTATGAGCAAAGCCCCCTTGAGGTGGAGTCATGTTGGTGGCACTCTTGCTGAAACCAAACTCTGCTGGAAAAGCAAGCTGACAGTAGAGTTTGATCAACTTTTCAATATGGAGTTCTTCTTGTGCATCCTTTTGCATCCTTTCCAATCCTTTGGGCTGTTTGGGTAAGTCTCTTCCCAAAAAAACATCGGATGCTGTGTGTGCCTTTACGGTCCATGCTGTTCTGCCATACCTCACCTGACAGAGAAAGTAGAAACCCCCCTAATGCAAGAAAGCAATCTTCGCAAATTTGCATGTCCGTCAGAAGTGGTGTAGGGAAATATTTGAGGGTCTTTTAGACAACCTTACCTCACCACCTGAGCCACTTCCTTTCTCTCCAGTCACAGCTATTTTGCCTCAGCACTGCCTTTGCGCAGAAACTGCGTAGCGCGTTTGGTACAGACGCACAGACCCAACACCAACCACCTGAGGTGGCTCAACTGCCAGCCTCTTCTTGAATGGTACTTAGCTTCGACAAACTTTGACTCTAGACTCTAGACCATGCCTTTGGTCCAGTCGTACCATTTCGGTGTCGATCCCTATCAGGTTCGTTGGGCACAGACCCCCCCCAAATCCACCCGAATCCACCCATCCACCCACCCACCCCAACCATCGAACCGAAACGGACGGGGCGGCCAGGATCCCCCAAATTAATGGTTAACAAATAGTATTCTCGACGTCGGATCAATCAACGGCGATGGGTCGCCCCTTCAAGGTTCACGCAAGGTCGCTGGGATTGATGAAAATGGGGGGTGATTACTTAATCCTATGTTGACATTATTAACCCTAGGGCTCCAGTCGTACCTTCTGAGAAGGTGGGACTGGGGTGGGTGCCATGTTCGGGTCCAGTCATACCGAACCTGAGGAGGTATACTTGGAGTCCTAGGGTAAAAACATGCAAAAACACGAGTCTCAAACCGAGGCGGATGGCTACGAAGGCATCATCTTCCAGAGCGAGGGCGCTTGGTCGCTCCATCAGCGCGAGGGGCGCTACCGCTTCGATCAGGGCAAGCTGCGCGATGTGGAGACCGGTGAGCTGCTGGGGCGCTTCGTTTGCGAAAGGAGCCGCCGCGTTTCCTCGAGATCGCGACATGGTGTTCGAAGCGAGATCGAATGGAATCCCATATTACCCAGACACGACCTGTTTGGAACTGCCATAGGACTGCCGCCCCATTGACCCCTTTTCAACCACCCCTGGCCGTTTCTCGTCATATGGCAGTCCCAGACAGGTCGTGCTGCCATGCGAACTCGTCGCACGCCGGTCCGACCGTCCAAGAAGACTGGGTCGAGCCCGCAGGATCCAAGAAGCCGCACTGGAGATGGATCCAGACAGCTTCTCCAAGCTCACGGCTGAGAATCTCCCCATCCTCTCCTCAGCGCCTTGATCGAGCCGGAGGGTCGGATGGTGGTTGGATTAAAACCATCTGAACAAGCCAAAACAACACCGAGGCCCCATGTGAGTGCATTTCTATAGCAGGTTGGTGTGTATGCCAGAAGTTTGTTTTTCACCTGTGAGGGTACTTTGGAGTGGGTGGTGGGGCGGTTTTCATAGCAAACATTACACTTCCTGGAACTAACATGGCAGTGGGAAACCCCCTGTTTGTACAGGAAAACGGTCTTCCAAGGGCCATGCCATCCACTTCCATAGGATGAACATAGTAGATATAGGTGAAGAATAGCCACTGGATGCCTTTTGAGATTTATTTTTACGGTATGGAGCCTCAAAGAACGGACCGAGTTTTTCATCTGGGGAAAAAACTTCATGAAACTTCCAAAACTCGTTGATCGTACCGATCGTACCAGCTGTTCCATGTCAGTGTGCTTGAACTGGAGGAAGTCGGGGGGGTGCCCGTCTGACACGGAGCTGTTTGTTTGTGCTCCAAACAGACATGTTGACACATTAAGGTCAAATCAAGGCAGATTTGTGGACCTTTGGTCAGTAGAAAGGGATGGAAGTGTTTAAAGAGGCACCGGCAGACGACTTAAGACATTTGAAGACCAATCCCTTCAGCTGGTGATTTTTGAGGAGATCATGACTGAGATCCAGAAAAGTGAGCCTGGGCAGAAGAACAAGTGAAGAACACGACGAGACGGAGTGTTTTTCTTGAACAGTTCGAACGTGTCCATGAAAGGCTAGGAATGGATCACAATTACAGTGTGGCTGAGTTGTGTTCATTTGGGTGCCATAATATCAGAACGAAATCCTGCTCCAGCTTGTTTTTGATACCCCCCCCCCAAAAGGAGGGTTGTGATGTATAAAACCCGGTTTTTAACAAACACTTTGTTTTGCACCAGGGGTGGTGCCCTTCGTACTGTGTATACACTGCAGTGTAAAGTCTCAAAATACCACAGAAAATTGGGCCCCAGTCGTACTTGTTTTTTTTTGTTTTTTTTCTGGGGCCATGTCCCATTTTGTAATGTGCTTGAAGTTGGGTCAAGGTGGTTTGCAGTGGGCTGAACTGGACCCCGAGTTTGTTCCTGAAACATGTGCTTCATCCTCTCCCAGACACTCCACGTAGTACTCCACGTATGTGGAATATTGACATATATTGACCATTTGGGTGGCTTGAGGGATCAATGGAGGCATACCAGCACCACCCAGTTCGGGTGGTTTACAATTAGAATTAGAATCAACAGTTAGACTTATATAATAGACTTATAGAAGTACTTACCAGCACCACCCAAAGGGTGGTTTATAGACCCCCCTGACTATCTATTTTCCATCTAATAACCACCCTTTGGGTGGTGCTGGTATAGACCCCCCCATGTATTTGTCATCCAAGAGCCATCCGAACTGGGTGGTGCTGATACCAGTCCCATGAAGAGGGGTGTTCTTTGGCCCGAACTCGATGCGTTTCACTCATCGCTTGGCTGTGCATTCGTTGACTTTCATGAACCGGTGACCGGGACGCTCCGCTGCGCACGTCGCGAGGAGAACGAGGGCGCGTTGTTCGCGTTGCCCTCGCAGCTGAATGGCGCCGAATATCCCTCGGACGCTCGGCGCTGGCGCGGCGGAGCCGACGGTTCCGGGTGACACTTCCCATGAACCGCCGGAACTAAGACGTCCGGATGGGCCGACTCGACCCAACAGAATGGGCATGTGAGTTACTAAGTTTACTACGTGAGCCCTATTGAACATAAGGGTTTGGGCATGAAATACCCTAGAGAAAATTTGACATGACCCCATAAAACAGCAGGTATGACTTGGGCCCCTTTTTACGCGCTTCGGTTTTGGAAACTCTAGGTCCCGGCCACTTCCTGTGTAAAGGATCTCTTTCGCTGGCACCATAATATGGTTAATATATGTTTGTTTCCGGTTATTTACTGACTGGTGCTTAGTAGGGAATGAGAGAATGACCCCTCACAGGATCCATGACCCCTCATTCTTTACTCAGCACCAGTCAGCTTATTTGGGTTTTCAGGATCATAATATATTGACCTTCTACATAGCTAGGGCAGGTTGAAAAGGGATCGAACCACCATTGATCTAATAGCCTAACAACATCTAACAATGATTGTTTTACTGATTTTACACCTACACAAATTGTTCGACGTACGGCTGACTTGGCTCGGCCTTTTCTGGTTTGAGGACGCTTGACCGAACTCGCAGCGTGCTGCTCCGCTGACGCTGAGCACACGCGACCGCCCGTCAGAGATACACCTACACAAATCAGATCAGCCTTTCTTCGGTCCACAGACGCACCGTTTGGAACCACATGAACCGCCCGTAACCATCGACTCTGCGCGACGCTTCGACGTAACCCCACGTACCAGGCAGGTGTTCGACAGTGGCAGTGGCAGGGATCCCAGGGTCCAGTCGTAGCAGTCGTAGCTTCTAGGCGACTTCACCATATCTGGTTCGCTGGGCACAGACCTTCTCTGGCACCCTCCCCGCCGCAGCCATCTAAGGAGATATATCGTTGGAGCCCAATGGGCCTAACGCATGATCAATCCCTAATTGTACCCTTGGGATCCAGTCATACCGAACCTCAGGTATGGTGTGTTCGGCACTGAGACATGAGACGGTGCCAAAACGTCGGGTCCATTCGTACCGAACTGCGTCGGGTTGGTACGAAAACGGCTCTCTGGGGTATAGAAGTTGGAACCATTGAGGCACCGCTGGTCCCCCCTTAGTCTCACAAAATCCTCTGCACCCCGCTCCACCGGGTACCGCTCCCTTTCTTCAAGCAGCATGCTCAGGACAGTAGCATCAAGTGCCTTGGACGTGGGGCCATCGGGTGGCTATAGCGTGGTTTCAGGGATTTTGAGGGTGAAGCCGACCTCGGGGAACTCGTTGGTAATGTGTTTGAATGCATTTGACGTGATGTTTGGCGCAGCCCAACAACTAGAACATATCATGTGAAAAGCATGTTTAGTGTGTCATCATGTTTCTATCCGTTGATCATCGTGCACATTGGCTAAGAGTGAGTCCAGAAGAGAAAGATGCACCACCAGTCAGTACTATATTAGAACTCCGTCAAAATCCTCCAAATGCTCACGAGGCTCCTCACATTGCTAAACATTTCTGCAGCATTTCATATGCACCTCACAAGGCATCCGCAAATCTCAAAACCCATGACACTCCACGTATGGAATATTTATATATACCCAGATTTACCCCCTGTTCAACCATCAAAATGTATAGGTAAATATGCCAGTCCCATGGAGTGTCTGGAATAGATTGCTGTAAACTGGTGTATTTCCATACCCCAGTCGATGATGCAGCCCGGAGTGCACGGGAGTCCATCGTGTTCTGACCCAGAAACCCTGAAACCGTGCCCGAGAAAGGTCCAAGACCCAGGTCCCCTGACATGTCATCCGTCCAAACCTGGTGCTTGAAAAGCTCATGCACATATATGCCCTATGGATCCAAGTAAGTACCTTCTCAGAAGGTGATTAGAGACTTTATGTAGGCTTGGAGGGCCCAAGTACCTCCTGAGAAGGTATGTGGATCCCTAGGGATGTATCATATGCATATTCGAGTGTTTTTGTATGACCACAAACCAGTCTTTCATGAGGTCCGTTCCTGACCTGTGCCTTGAAACATCATACCCGTTTGACTGATTCATCTGTGGGGTGCCGACTGCCCAGAATGCTGTGAGTTACCCGACTGTCCTCTCCCTGAAACCCGATGAGGTCCGGCCGAGGTCCAGGTCCCTCCATGAGCGTCTGGGGCTGAACGGGTCGCGTTTGGACACAGGGGTCAAGGGTTTGAATCCCTCCACTTGGATGGGACCATTGGGTGAATCAATGTGAATCAATGTGAATCACCTATCGCGTCCTTGTTTCTAGTAAGGCCAGGAGCCCCACTTAGTAGCGTCCTCGCTCCTATCATGTTGATTCATGTTGGCCAAAGCAAACAGCGACATGTTTCGACCACCCTGCAGGCGCTTGGTGGTCGACTACAAGTGCCGCCACACAGAGAAACGCTCGGATGGACCGGAGGGAGATGGGAGCCGAGATAGAGAAACGAGACCCAGACCATCCATGGGACTGGAATAGTTCCCAAGGGATCCAGGTACCTTCTCAGAAGGTCCTTGGACTCTCCTGGCACCTACATAGCGGTGTCTCCAATCACCTGCTGAGAAGGCACGACTGGATTCCTAGGGGTTATGGAAGAGTTACATAGATGTTCCCCATGTATGACCGGATCCATGTCAGTACTCCTCTCGCTTGAAAGGGATTGAGCACACCCCAAGATCATACCGGATCCATGACTGTATTTTGACCAGTCCCATGGATCGTCGTCTGGGTACCCAAACACGACCGCCATCTGGGACTGCCGGACTGCAGAAACGGCCAGGAGGGGTGGTTGACTGGGGGTCCAGGTTTGGGGCGGCAGTCCGAACTGGCAGTCCCAGACAGGTCGTGTCTCGGGTTTTCGGAGTCCGGTCGACCATTGAACGAAGGGTTTGACCAGTTCAGTGATCCGAGGGACAGAGGAACTTGTCCACTGGATGGGTGATGCCCAACAAGTCGTCGAACTGGACTTGAAGAGGAGAAACCTATCCCAGACACGACCCATGGGACTGGCATAGGACTGCCGATCAGGCCAGGGGTGGTGTTTGGGGGGTCAATGTAGTGCATATATGGCAGTCCCATGGAGTGTCTGGGTAGAGTCTAGGACAAGTTCATGGGGAAAAGCTGAAAGACTTGCAGGCTGATGCAGGCTGTCACCTTTCGAACGCTCTCAAGACACCCTGGTTTTGTAAAGTTTCGTAAAACAATGCTTGTTCGGTCAAGGCTGTTGAATTATATAAAGGTTGCTCTAGGGCTTCCCATTCTGCAGGAGTGACAAGCGTTGACAGACCTCAGTCCTTCGAGGAGTCATACGACGCGACGCGCGTCTCGCGACCCGGTCGAGGTCAGTCTTCGAGTAGGGTCCGGCCGCAACGGCCTCGCCCGCACGACCCACTAAGTCCAGAGGCAAACGGAAGGGTAGTGCACACAGCCCCTTTCTCCACACCCTCACAAGTGAACTTTCCCCCTGGTGCAGAGTCGCGGTGGTGTGAACCTCCGCTTGCAGATTCTTGAACAAGGAGGGTACAGTGGGTTCAGAGCTTCGATGGCACGTTTGGGGGAGTTGGGTGGTGCGATCATGGACCCCCATCTAAAGGACATCGAACGGGGTGCCAGTCCCATCTACTCTGAAACCACTGTACTGTGCCTGATGGAGCCCCCTGCTGTGTTCAGTGCAAGAAAAGCTCATCATCTATAGGCATGCCATTGGATCATGGTTGACCTTTGCGAACGTCGCTTCGAACATGAACGTCTAGAACTTGAAATGGAAAGCTGTCATGTTGTTTTTGCTTGAGTAGAACAAGGAACACATAGGAAAAATACCGTCTGAATCAGACCAGGGTAAGGTGCGCTCCAAAACATGTTTGCCCAGACACTCCAGATAGCCCTTGGTGCCTCAAAACCAATACTGTAGTGAATTTGAGACCCCAGACCCATGAATGTTTAGGTGTTCAAATGAGCAAATTCGTCCTAATTTGAAAAGCGCCGTGACCTGGCACAGAACAACAGGCGGCACCCACCATCAGCCTCAATGCCCATGTATGGAAGCAGCAGCAGGTACGACAACACGGGCGGACCCAGAGGGCAGCTGGCCTGCCATCCAGCAGCAGCACAGTTCGTGCTAGATAATGCGGCCAACCTGGAACGTTGCTTGGTGGAGCAGTCGGCATGTTTCTTTTCTCCGTTGGTGGGAGAAATCCATAAAATGAAGCAGGCTAAGCAGGTGCCCAGTGACATTGTTGGTGATTAATTTCTACCCCAGACTCCAGACCATTCTCAATTCTTAAAGATCAAAAACACCGTGATTTGTGTCTTCTCTTTGACAGCTTTTAGACATTCTTATGTTGTACGTGTTTCTGGTTGCCCTTTCTCAAAGGTCTGTGATTCTCTCATCCCCGGAGTACAGGATAATTCTATATCTGCTTGGATTGCTTCCCAACGAAAAGCTGTAAGAGTTGGTGACATGTTGGTGACATGTCCACGGATCCCCTAGACTTCCAAACCATTTCTGAGACTTGCCACGGCTGCCTGTGACTCGACCACAGTGTCACGGAGTGGTAACACCTATTTGCCAACCCAGGAGATGGTGGCATCAATGCTGTCGACCTGCTTCTGGAGAACGTGCAGGGATTGGAGCTGGTGAACGGCTACTTGAAAATCCAGGAGAATTCATGAAAAACACGAGGGGTGTCTTGCTGTGCGCCCTGGAAGATTAACATGGAATCTGAAATCTTCCCTGGTGTACACACACTTGGTCTCCAGGTACTGGATTTCGCGAACTTCCGAACCATCTTGGAGCTTGTGTAGAGTTTATAGCTCGCAGCTCGCTGCGAAAGGGGTTTGCAGGTACCTTGGTGCTTGGGGATTTGGAGCTGGAAGGTGTTCCAGACAAAGACAGTGAAATCACTTTCAGCCCTATCACTGTAAATCTCCCAAATGACTTGGTGGGTTTGAAGGGTTTGCTTCGATCAGATCCACTGGGCTGTTGAATCAACACCGGGCTGAGGTGCATGGCCGAGTGAAAATCCCGCCCTGCCGAGAAAGAGCTTCGACCTCGACGGACCTGGCTTTCTGGGTTTCCAAACAGATCGGCTCCCCGGACCATCCGCCTTGGGTGTCCTGGCTTGACTATTCTATACTATCCGGGATCTCCAGGACACCCAGGTCTGGGGTCCAGGTATGTCCAGGTCTAAAACAGATCACTTTCTGCATATGCGTTGCAAAGCTCAAGGAAGAGTGGGCGAAATCGAGAAAAACTCCATCTCAACAACGTCTGGTATGTCCTTTTCACCATCAGGACCTCCGCGAGTTCCGGAGCTCAACCACTCACCTTGCCTCCAGCATCGCGTCCACCACGCCACAGCTCCGCCACCGTTGCCGGGCAGGACTGTGATTCCGACTTCGTGGTGGCTCAATTGTCCCTGGCTGAACGCGAAAACCGCGTGCGAGCTGCGTTGGGAGGGCTACCCTGGGCTACCACCGTCTTCTTCGTCCAAAAATGATACCGGCTCATAGTCACAGGACCTCCGGGACGTTAGAGTCGCTTTGATGGTTTTCACGATGGATATTAAGGAGATTCAGTAAAGCACCTGAGAGCCACATGTTGTGCAATCCTTGATTCAGCGTCTTTCAGTACGTCCCAGCTGTTCCAAATGATGGGTTTTGAGTCCCCTACGTGAGTGGATAATGGGACATGTGACATGACTTGAAAAACAACAACTGCTATGTGTAAACTGTACCACTATAGGCCCATATAGGCCCTATTTTCTGAGGTACGAGCGAATTCGGGTCCAGGTACGAACTGTTTCAGGTTTGTCTTGGTTTTCGCAAGTACTGAGAACCAGGTGCGGCCAAACTCAGTGAGTCCTTCACGTTTCTGGGACTTCTTGGTAGTTTGGCTCGTCGCTGTGAGGCCGGTTTTCGTAGACCATTTGCTTGACTGACGTTCTTCTAGGGGCCCCTGGGCGCCCCACCTGTGCGGGATTTTGTTTTTTCGTCTGGGCTGAAGCATCCACCCTGAAGGGGATGGTGGGATGACAGTGATCCAGGTAGAGATAGCTGGCAGGCTATGAATGATGCTTTCATTCAACAGTACATGCTGAAATTGACCACTCAGATGCTGCAAGACCACACAGCTGCTAACATCCAAAGATTCCCTCCAAGTCCTTTCAACGCGTGTTGCTCAAGGACTGGGGGAATCAGATTTTTTCTTACCACATTTCCGCCCTCAGGAAACAACATTTGCAACATTTGCGGCCCTTGGTCATGGAGGACGTGCCAGCCAGAGGCCTCATGCCCAACAAGCGACCCTTGGGCGGCAAGGCCTTGCGCCGGTGAAGCATGGGGATTTTCCTGAGGATCATTCGGTTTCTAAACGCTTTTGGCCCATTGCACAGACCGAATTGCTGGAGCCTTTGGCGGGTTGGTGGCGCGGAAACCCCGGCACCGGCCATCCGCGCGTTTGGGGGATCTTCAGGTCTCATGATGGCACGGCAGCCTTTGTTCGGCATCCTCGACCCACTCCATGGGAAGCATCTATGCCGATCAATTGACCTGTCGGCAAAGGTGGCCATTGACCTCGACCCAGAACAGCGAGCTGTCTATGCCATGGGATTTCGCTCGGTCGCTGCCGACGCTGACTGGTGGCTGTTGGAACCTTTCGTTCGGACTCTCTCGGTCGTGCATGTCCCAGACACGACGACCCATGGGACTGCCATATATGCCGATCAATTGACCCCCGAAACCACCCCAATGTAGGCATATATGCCATACATGGAGTGTCTGGGTGTGGGTGATGTGAATTTCCCCGGCACTTCCCTTCCCCCAACCTCTTTTGGACACGCGGTCAGCTAAGGCGACTTCTCCACCTGTGAGCATCGCGTAGGTCTCGTCTATGCCTCCGCCGTGCCACTGGACGCCTACCTCAACGCCCATCGCAGCGGCGGCTCCGTCGCGCCGTGGCCCGGCGATGGCGTCGAACAAAACGACTGGGAATCCGTTGGAGCGGTGTTTAGTAAGAGGTTTACCCTAATAGGGCTCCAACTACCGCCCCCCGTTTCGAAGATGGGCCACGGGTGGGTGCCAGGTGGGTCCAACCACGTTTTAGAGTCTTAGAGGTTTACCCTATGGGCTTTGGCCACCCCCCCGTTTCGGTTCAATGGGCTACCGGGGGCCCGGGTGCTACCGGGGCGTCGACTAACCACCGGTCACTGGTCAGGAGATGGGCCGTTGGGACCCCCCAACCAATAGGGAATCTTTGGGAGGTCTCCCTATGGACCCTATAGACACACCCATTGTAATCCCATAAGCCATTGACGTTTTGATCGGAAAGGACGTTTTATGATGTTTGAGGTGGTGGTCCCAAAAGAGGGGTCACTCAGGTTCTAGGAATGGAGGGTCCTGGTAGGCCGGTATCATCATGCCAGTCCCACGGAGTGTTGAACCCGAGGCACTGGACGGTGGAGCCCCGTCCGCGGGCTCTCCGCCTTCATCCTCCGCGCGTGGCGCCGTCGTCTTGTGCGCTGCGCTGGCCAGGTTGGAACATCAACGCAAGGTGGCCGAGCTGATCTTGGTGGCACAATACTTTGGCGCCCTCCGATACTCGGTGATGTAGCCGCTATGGCTGGCGGGGCTGGCTGTGGGTCAAAGCCCGGAGCAAGACAGGCCATCCTGAGACTCTTACAAAGACTGCCAAGGCAAAGGCCTGACCAGGAGATGTGCAACCACGTTGAGACAGTGGTGTCAAAGTTCTTGAAACATCGCAAGAACCTGTCCAAGACAGGTGTGAAACTTTGGATGACCCCTCCACTAAAAAACAAATTGGAGGGCGGGGGTGACCCACGATTCTATTTTGCTCAATTAGCTTATGTTTTATCCGACAATTTATCGGCAATTTATCAACAATCTTAAGTCAGATAAAAACAAGTAATTGGCACGTTCCCAGTGTACCTTGGATCAAGCCAGCCAACTAATTTATCGGAATTCATCGACCCCTCCTCCAGAGGCAACCCCCCTGAATTAATTTTTGTTGACTGGTTTTGAGTGTGATCAGTGATGGCTGCTTTCCTGCTTGGTTTGCATGTGGTGGCCACTTTCCTGCCTGGTTTTTAGGGGCTGGTGACACCCCTTCCCAGGCCTATGCTTGTCAAATAGATTATTCGACCCCTCCTCCAGAGGCCAACATCCCCTGGTGAGTATTCTGCGGATGTGGGTTTTGCCACCTGATGAGTGGAAATTACTTAAGGGGTTTGAGAGATGTCGATGAGTTAAGGGGGGGTAGGGGCCCTAAGCAAAATGTATATTATAGAACATTATATAATTGTGGGTTAAAGACACCCTTCAATTCATTTCCAAAAATCAGGTATGTGTCCATTCAATGAATTTGTTTCATTATTTGTGGGACTCCCCTCAGGGCCCTATCTAATGTAGGGGTCATAACTTTGGCAATTCATTTATCGGATCGTGTACGTTTTCCATTCCACCGACGTTTTCTCCGTGCCTGCCATTTTTGCAAAGAGGAGATTTGAGACAGAGCCGTTATGGTGTCAGGGGAAATGGCCACCAGAAGGGAGCAGGCAGGAAATGGCCACCTGCTTTGGCAACGCAAGTGGCCTGAAAAGTTTTGGCTGACAGTCCTGGAGAAGTTGGGAGTCTTGCCCTTGAGGAGTGGAGGCACAATTCTAGGAGCTGGAAGCCAGTCCCGACCGTCTTGTCTTGCCGTCCTCCTTCCTCCTTGCAGGAGTGTCGTCCTCAACAGTCTCAGGCATCTGGAGATGTATGCATCAGGCGAGGCTCCAGAAGAAGATTCATCAGACTCCTGTGGATCGTTGGGCGCCTGTGGAGCCAAGAGTCCTGCCGATGATGTAAATCGAGGCGTCAGGAGTCCTGAGCCGATGACAGCCAGCATTTCGTCACCAGCAGTGCCAGGACATGTTCCAATATACATAAATTCTTTACCGGGCGATCTTACCGCCATTGCCTTGCTTTTAACCTACCATTTTTGGGGAGGAAACAGTGAACGTGTTTGCGGAAGTCGCGAAAGGCTTCTTGAAGCCAGAGAAGGCGCGGCAACAACACACAAAATAGACCAAAGGCGAATCACGCGCAAACTTCTTGGTTTTGCACGCTCATGTAGCGAGAGAAGGTTGGCATGTTGTGAGGTGCAGCCAAAAAGGAGTGGTGCCGCAACTTCACTGCACTTTCATTAGTGCCAGATCCGTGGGAATTTGTGTTGTCTTGTTCGTCTCTTCTGTTTCTGTTAGCCACTTTTGACATCCCATGCAGCAACACGACAGCATGATAGTGCACCCAATGATAGGTCGACATATCACTCAAATTGAAGTCAGTCGAAATCACTAACATTCAACTTGAAGAGACTTTGCAGATCACTCCATGATGAAGCTCACACTAAGTATCCCCAATATGCAAAAATATCATAAGGAATGGTTGCAGCCACAATCCTGGGCAGATACTGACATCTCACATGATCTCTTGTCTAATCAATATGGATCCCTCCCATACAAGCCTAGATCGGAATTGATTAGTGCGCCAGAGCAAGTACAAGGGGCCCTGTTCACCCTGGTCGCTTGAAGAATAGATCAACTATGATTAACTTCTGGATGTTTGGAGCGCACTACCAAAGAAGCAAGTTATCAACTGAGGATATGCGGCCAAAGAGCACATGACGAAAGAAGGAGCTCCTCCAAGGAAGGTGCCCTGCATCGGGATTTTGTGGCCACCAGCAACCAGAACGGGCCCCAGAAGGTTTGAAAAACCTTTCTTCTCAAGTGAATCATCGTTGACTGAAGGGTTTCTTTCAGCTTCAGCCTGTGTAGACATCCTTTTGGCGTTCGGGGTCCGTAGATTCAGTGGCTGGATCCTCAAAGAGGAGCCAAAACCATGAACAAGGACGACATATATGGTTTTCCTTCACCTGAGCTCAAACCAGATTTGTTCAAACCATGCCCTTGGGTGTTTCTGACATCCGCCGTGGCCAGGTCTACTTGATGCCCCTTGGTGGCGGTGTCTTCAACAATCCTTGGGACGCTGGGTTGAGCAATTTCCAGAGAGTTGAGCAGGGGAGCGAACGAGAGAAGAGGCATGATGGCTGTTGGGTTTCACTCTGTTTCAAGTATCGTGGTAGCACATGGTACCTTCCCAACCAGTTGGAACATGTTGGAAGCCATTAGAAGTGCAATGTTCCTCCAAACAACGGCATATGACCACTTCCATAGTTGCTTCGGGGAATGGGAGATTGCTCACTTGGGTTCCGCAGGCATTTGATGCGCATAATTAATGATTCAACCACTTTAAATCGTGTTTGTTCAGGCATGCAGGCAAGGGCACTTGCAACTCGGGGACTACATGATACCACTATGATCCACTATGTCGAAAGGGCGGCAGTGCAGACTGTCCACTGTTGAACTGTGAGGAATGCTCTGACTCACGTTCCATGAAATTGGTGTTCACCCTCTCTTCGTAAAGGAACGTACCATCCTAGACCTGGGTGTCCTGGACCTGAATAGCAGTGGGCTGGGTAGTCCAGCAAGGACACCTAGCTCTGGGATGGTGCAGGGAGTACAGCAAGGACACCCAGCTCTGGGATGGTGCAGGGAGTA